TTTAGAATATAGCACTTGAGACAAATATGCCTCAATCAATATTTAAATATCGATGTGAATGATAGTCAAATATTGCTCATTTTAATCCACAGGTTGTCAAAAAAACGTTTCAGTAGCTATGTTTTTAAGAATGAGAATTTCTAAAATAGTATTCATTCAGTGTTAAGCTCTAGTCACACTTTATTAGGCATATTAATATATTGAATAAAAATTGATGAATAACCGGACTAACTTTGAATAAAAGCAACTAATAATAATGTGTATACTAATATAGTACGACCATTTCAAATGAAACCCTATAGTCAAGCTATGGAAGGAGTTTTTTAGAATATAAAGCTTAAAAAATTATATTCCATCACATAAGATTTGAATTTATTTTCAATTGTCATAAATTTTGTACAAACTACATTGTGGGGGTGCTGAATCTAGTGGAGTAGTCAGATTTTAAATAAAAAATTCGTTATCGAATTTTTGTCAAATGCAACATCGAAAAAAGGAGTAGGCTTTGGCAACTGAAAATAAATTGAAATGCTAAGTGATGTAATAGATTTTTTTAAGCTCAGTCGCGAAAAGAACGAATTAAATCGTCAATAAATACCTTTTTTAGAAAGGTGTTTGTTTTTAAATGGGTCATGTCATATATCAAGAAAAATTTTGATAAAAATGGTGTTTAACAATTTTAAATAGCACGCACCTAAATGCAAACTACTCTAAATGTAATTGCATATTTGCTGAAATAGATTATTTCGTGCTAAATATGTATCGGATAACCAAAACAAGTCAATACTTAGGTGCCTAGCAATATTAAAATAACTAGGTATTTTTAGAATCTTATCTGTTTAACTTGATAATGAAATTTCGAATTCCTAACGTTATTGAATTAATTTTCGTCTTATTTCAAATCTTATTTAACAAATTTATGCTTCTTTTTAACATATTATTTATGATTAATTATACTTATCTTACTAATTTTCGCAATTTATGTCAAAGAAAAACGACTGCAACGCTCTGTTAAGTTTCAAGCGAGACACAAACTCGCTCGTTACCAGCTCATCCTTATTCTGAAACTATGTAGGCAAAAGTCAACCGGCCGCCGAGCTGCATGTATTTATAAGGATTTTAAAGTGAGCGTAAGCATAAATGTCAAGGAAAATTAAACGCATCGAACATATGATTTAACGGTACGGGTTGTCTTGTAGATTTCGCCGATTGAATTTCAGATAAGGCCGTTTGATACATGTTAAGAGCGTCTGATTACAGGTTTTCTATGTATGAGCCGGAGAAAGGGCGAAATGTAACCGTCGGCTGTCTGAACGTACGACACCTACCCCGTGCCTCGAATTTGATTGCGGTTAAACTTGAAATATAAACTTTCTAATTAATAATTTATGATTGCGTTGCTATTGTGCCGGGAGAATGTAAGATATAGTGGGTTGTTGGGTCATAGAGCGTTTTTAGTATATTTGTTTTTATAGTCGCGTTAATGAATGTCTTTTCAAATAACAGAGACTTTGTAGACGTTACAAGTACTCTTAAGAGCAGGGTCACAAATCAAATCATGACGTGTGTTGTACATTTTTCTAAGAATATACAAGAGTTTGTTAAAATTTATCTTACAAGCTAAATATGTTTTCAGGAATATTTTGCTGAAATAAACCTAAACAAATGATTATATATGTCAAGAACACAAAACTATTACATATACAAACAATATACAGTGGCGCCTCAAGCCACTGCGACAAAAACAAAGATTCAAGGGCGGAAAATTTAAAAATGTAATTGTATGTCAATTAAGTTGCTCTTTGCTTCTACCAAGGTAGTTTCCTTTCCTCCCCTCTGATTTTTTAAACTTCCTGTGAATAATCTTGTTTTTTAATTCACTTCACATTGCTTTACCGTCCCATATCAGTCGTCTATTTTGTGAATTTCTCGTATCTACCACAAGCTAGTCCTAAATTTTGACGGAACAGTTTCGTGACAAAGTTTCGTACGGTTACTTTGTGAAATCGAGTCCACCAGTGCATTGTAAAGTAAAGGATCCGGTGCAGATAATGTAAGTTAGCGCTGTCGTCTGTTACATATGTATGATATCGCATAGGAGACTGAAATACAGATAATGTTATTGCAACACGAACCTACATTTAAACGCTCACCGGGTTCGATGTTTACTTGCACAACTGTTTGCTTTTTTAATGTGATATATTTCGTCCGATGTGCGGTTTGTTATGATGTTTGCAAATGGAATTACAAGATAAGATCCGAACTACATTTTTCAGCTATAATTTGTTTTGACACGGAGCTCCTTTCGAGATTTTAACCGTGAGGCATTTCCACGATAATTTTATCCCACAGGATGAGACAAAAGGGTTATTTCCCGGTACCGGTCCATCAAAAACTTTTGTCGCATGAACTACTTAACATTTTAGTTATCTCGCTATCCGTATCATTGTACAATAAACATGTACATGTCTGTATCTAATCCGAAGCTTCGCATCGATCAGTTTATTCGATACGTACCTAGCGGCACCTTGATAGTCGTCACATAGTCGATGCCGATGTCTACTCATTACCAAAGATGGAATAGAGTAGTTTTTTAAGAAATTACAAAAATTTAAAAACATTGTATAACATCTCCGTCATTAACCAATGATTTGAGGGTTTCTAAGGCAGTCTTGACTTCCTGAGACTAAAATTGTAATGCAAATTAGTTTTTAACTAAGCAGAACTGAATCCGTTCGATATTTCAAAATTAAAAATTTTTTGTCTTTCAACATTAGTTGTTTCACCTATCAAGGAAGCACTGCCTGAATTATACCTGCTGCAAATTAATATCTGACGATGTATTTTCGATATTTTCTATACGTAATAAGCAAAATCGACTATAAATAAACCACAATCAACGGAACTAATGATCTTAATTTGTATAACAATGTCGTACTTACCACGATCTTAAATTGGAAGCTAGTTGTTAATGTTATTAGCAAATAATGTCTTAAGACACAATAACTTGTCTGTCTGGTGCGTCACTAACAAATATCATTTTGTATAAAAATTAACTTTTTAAATATTGAATGAACAATGATTTTTTTCTGTAAAATAATATATTTGAAAAAATTATTTAAAAAATGATTGCAGTTCTTTAAATTTTCAGTAGTTTATTGGTATTAGTTTCAATAATAGTGAGACAACTCAAAATAAATTAAGATAATTCAGAAAACAACTTTGTAAAAGTAATTTAATTACCTGTATAAAAATATTTTTATTATCTATAAGTTAATGAAATTGTTGTATTATCTTCTCTGTTTTTTTTTTTTTTAATAGTATTAATCCAATGTTAAAATATAGATAGCAATATATTGTGGGTTTAGATTAATAACAATGATATGGATGTTAATTTTTATATAAACCCTCTTTGACATAATCATATTGTATTCTTGTTTATGTTGTTGCAAATAAAGTTTCCAATTTGTTTACATTAAAGTGTTAGTATAATGTTTATTGTAATTTATCAGATAAGTGTATGGAGTGCTTAATACGAGTATAACTAGTAGAAATGCAAAAAATCAATACTCTTTAGCGTTTAGAAGATAGAAGATTTATAAATATAATAATAATAATAATTTATTGATGTCAGAACATAAGATAAATGTTTACACAAGTCACAAAAGAAATATGACATCAAAAGTATCAGTAATTAAAAATAGGTTAAAACTAAAGCACAGATATGTGAATAAATCATTAAAAAAAATATTACATACTACTATAGATACAAAAAAAGCACTATTACAAAATACATAAAAAAATATATCACTCATCAGTCACACACATTACATGGTATTCCAAGAAATGATGTTGGCATTTTTGTTTCAAATCGGTTCAAAGATCGTTTCTGAACATTTCGATTATGATTTATCCAGTGTTTATATGTTTACTTGCAAAATTAATATCCGAATCTTAACGTCAGTTACACATGTAAGGATAGATAGTAGCGATTTGTCTTCTGCATTTTAAAATCTTCACAATTTACTATATCCTGCACAGATAAATCGTTCCTTGTGTGACTGCCTTTAATAAATAAAACCAATTCGCAGATTTGTGAATCATTTACATTAAAAACTGAAAGTACTAATGCCGTAAATGCACTTCCAATCTGCAGCTTATTGCTTCATTCAAATACCTACATCGTAAGTCCATTTATTTTGAAATAGTGTAGGAACTCTTACCGATTCCGTGTTCACACGCATTAGGTGTAATTACCCGAGCCTAATACCTTCGATAGGCCTCCTGATTAATTATTTATGAATAATACTTCTACTGGTAAGGCGACTTTTACTTTCTTTTGGCAAGTGAAATTTCCAAGGCCCAAGTTTGGCGGATTTCTAAAAGCCGCTACGCCCTTTGTAGTGTTTATTTTTAATATCAAATTTCACAATATCATTTACAGTGTATCTTACCACATAATATGTTTTCTAACAAGGGTCAGCGGCTGTTGTCCATGTTTTTCCTGCCTATGGCTTATAGATATCTATTGCATGGTACCAAAAATACAGGGTGTACCAATATTCCACGACAGAATCTACAGATAGTGTTTAAGAATCTACCATAACTTTTTTCCTTATTTTTAGTCAAAGACACACCTGTACATGTAATTGCTTGTATTTCAAAAGGCTTTGTTTTTTAAATTATACATTAGTATTTTTTGTATTTTGTATGTCAATATTCTTTAATTAATCCAACTTTTGTACATCAAGTTGGAGATTTTGATAATTTTTTTCTTGGAAATGGTTGAGTTTAGGACCCATGTCATATAAGGTTTTTTTTGTTTATTTTATTTTTATTTTATTTTGTATATTCTATCGTCCGTTAAAATTAAGGCAGTCAAACTTCTACCACCTTGCATAAATCCGCCACACAATCAAAACTGTAGCAAACAAATGCGAGTTAGCCTTCAAATATTGTTTTAATTATTCACATGTTAAACATACATTTTTTTTTTTCAGTTGGAGAATGCTAATACGGCCGTGGTGAAGAACCTAGAAGACTTCAGGAAAAAGTACATCGGTGGGGTGAAAAACGAGAAGAAGAAGTTCGAGAAGCAGACGGCGAAGTTCTGCCAGAACCAAGAGAGATATTTAAATCTGACGACGAAAAAGCCCAATTCACTTCAGGAGGTAAGACCGTCTGTCTCGAACTATTCTAGGAACGTCGCGAAAATTAATTGCACACTTTCGATTTATTTATATCTTCGGTTAGGGTTGAGTTGCGAGTACAATCACACTGAGACAAACCTACCTTAACGCGGCTTATGTTAAGCTAGACTAGTCTACATATTCCCTGAATCCTGAATGTTATAGATGTAAATGTTTTTTTTTTTTTTTGTTCAAGAGGATTCAAGTTGGAGGAACACGGTGGCTAACGCATGTCATTTCTCTAACCTACAGTATCTTAAAACAGAATAAATTTTCAAAAATCAGAATAAGAGATCAATTGTTATTTTGATATCAAACGTGATGTCGCATTCATCTTTTATCCCCAGTACGTATTTTCTTGTTTTACCCAACAATCTTTTTATCGAATACAAAAGTATGACTTCCTAATATCATGTTGCATTTGAAAAAATGTTGTCGAGATCATCGTCTTTCAGTACTATAGTTGAATAAAAAATTCTTTTCTATTACATGCCACAAAAATTATAACATACAAATTTACTTTGCCGTTGACTCTCGTAGTACCGTTATATTCTTAATAGTTGCCAAATACATTTACTTTATTACAAAAAGACACACCTCTAAAAAAGTTGGTGGTACACCTTCAAACAATCTCTCTCTTATATTGCGATCTTATTGGCCGATATAAAAACAAATAATTTCAAGTTACAGTATTTCAATGCTTTTACCTTGAATTCGACAATACAGACATGGTACGGGAAAAAACTTTAGAACATTCTGGTATATCAAAAGTTTTCTCATATCTCATTATATATACTTGCAATTTCTGATTAAATTTTCTCTATCATTTTAATAAAGCTGATACATACATGTACGATGATGATATAAATGAATAGGGACTATTACTATTCCTTTATAGTTTTATGAAGATGCGGAAATAATTTCTTGAAGCATGCTTATTATATTGTGGTCGTAACAGTCAAGTGAAAGTGGTTCTTCTAATGGGTTCATCTTTAATGCTGCCTGACTCAGTGTTTGTCAGTGGGTGGTCACACTCGTATTTAATATGGAAATATGTTGGTTTAGTTACCTTTTTCTGACATTGGGGTCATCTATTTCTTACGCCTTAGTTAATTATAGTTATTTTTATTTTTCCGAGGTAATATAAATATGTAGTAGGTCTCTGTACAGGATCATTTTCAGGACCCTGTAAATCAACATTCTCGCTTTACAACAAAATACCTTTAATAGATAATATTGGTAAATACTTCAGAATATAATTATTAAAAAAAATTCAATTCGAGCGTAGGCATAATATCATATTACGCCTACATAATAGCTGATAGCTGAAGTCGTTGTGGGTTATTATATCTACGCCACTGAATGAAACATTCCAAACATGCAAATTGTCAATAATCTTCTATTTCTTCAGTTTAGAAATAAAAAGTATATTGTTTACTACCATTATTTCTGTGAATTATATGTTCCCGCGAAATTGGTTGGTTAATTTTTATTACACCCTGTATAGATTATAACATAACTAGAGCGCAAGGTACTATACAAACTAAAAAAAATATATATTCTTTTGACTTGGTTGATATAATAAACTTAATAGCGATTAGGATAAACAAGAAAAAGATTAAATTTCAAAGATTGGGGAATAACGTAGAAAATTCCCAACTAAAAACAGCGAAATGTGCTATTAAAAAGCAATCAAAATAACTCTACAATGATAATGCGACATATAAACAAATAAAACGAATGACTCAAAATTATTTGTCACAAAAAATAAGGACCTTGGCACAAGCTGCACGAGTTAAACCAAACTAATAATTTAATGAAAATTTAAAATATGTCAGCATATACAGGTTCGGAAAGTCCCCATGGTTCATCGGCCGTTACGTGAGGGCGAGTAAGTATAGAAATCCGTGCGATAGAGAAGGATGGCTATAATTAAGGCGTCTCATAGTTGCCGTCCGTTTCGCCCTTCCACAAATAAGATCCACTTCCACTTGTAATTCAGCGACCGGTGGTCATTTTTGTTTTCGTAGTTTGGCTTTTCTTTAATAGATGTCACTACAATTTGAAAATAAGACAAGAAAATAAGAAATAAATTTTCTGAATTTAATTATCGTTTTCAAGAAATGTATTTCCCCAAATATATCGATATGAAGAAAATTATGTAGCTTCGGATCTGTTCCTTGCTCACCTAGCGTAATTTGTTTGTTTTGAAAAATTAATTAAACGCAATGAAATAGCGAAAGTAACACAATCAGAACAAAGTAGCTGATTATACATTTCCCCCAATGAATTTGATAAATTTGAAGAGGATTCTCATTAGCCAAGAAATAGTTTTATGTTGTAATTTAACAATCTTCCGACACACCTACGAGAACAAAAGATATCTAATCTCTATGGGAATTTATTATAATTTAAAATAAACTTGATTGTTAGTCTGTTAGTTAAATTGCAAAAATTACCTAATTTAATCCTTTCATTTTTTCATTAGTTGTGGCACCTTATACTTTATTGCTTCTATAGTAGTTAGTATTCGATTCATACTTGCAAAAAATGGTCTTATTTTAAAAACAAAGGCCAAAGAAAATTATCTGTTCATCTGTTCAAAATTATTTTGTCCTTGTTTAGTATTCAATCAAGATTAAGGATTTCAAACGGACCAAAAAAATGTCAGTAAGGTCCTCTAACCTTGACATGAGAAAATAATTATTCATTCCAAACTTTCTGGGATCGCTTTCATCAGATTAACGCCCTTTGGTACTTCCCTTTGACCCCTATGAAATAAGGGTAATCCCTAAAGTAGATCTTGCAAGAGGCAAAACGATTTCTAACGAAACCACAACGCATAGAATTTATCGGTAACATAAATACAGATTATTTTTTAACCAAATAGGATCGTTTTCTAAAATAAGAATCATATTTCCCTTCAAAAATGTCATTGACACCTATGGTTGACGATCTGCCATCTGGAGAAGATGGAAAAAATAGCCTATTTATGAGTTTCTCTATTTTTTAACAAGATTTTCTTCATAAAATGAAGAAGAATACAAATGTTATCTCATTTCGACTGCCTCCGTGGGCATAAATCTCATAGGCACTAATTTATTACAAATATTACTGTTTTTAAACATCCAAGTTTTGATTTAAAAGCATCATATGTTTATAACAGTTCACTGCTGAGATAACGGTTTATGTAAATTTTAATTAAATAAATTATAACCTACACTGTTCAGTTGTCAGCAAGAACCAGTTTAAAAAGTAAATAATTGACAAATTGTAAGATGCGTGCTAATATGCGAAGCCTTCTTGGCAAGGCGGGACCTATTCTAGTTGGATCTTCTGAATTTAATTACCAGTTCTAATAAACTACGTCCCAAATGGACACAAAAATAGATGCGAGTGACAACAAAAAATAGTTAGATTCCTTTTAATTTAATAACAATTTAATATGTACAACTGTACTTACATATGACTGTTTATACCAGATTTCCAAAATAGTAAGAAGTAAGCCTCGTAAATAAATCAAACACCAACGTTGCATAGTCTCATTTCTCGATTTCTCAACTTAGGCGTTTCTTCTCGTGTCATATGCGTGCAAATGGGAAAAGAGAATGGTTTGCGAGTGTTAGTGGCTAATCTGTTAATTATCAGAGCAGTCGCAAACGAACAAATTTAACAAATCAAGAACGTTGTATGATAAACACGTTTATCAATAAATCACACAAACCGCGGTGAGCGATGACGTGGAAACGTGCAGTTCTGTAACAAAAGTATCCGCCAGAAGTGACGAAAATGTAAAAATTAGTACAATTTTGGGATTCTAGATATTACTGTATGAATCTCATGCCCCCGGATGATGTCACACTGATCGGTGAAACGTACGACGAGTAAAATCACGTTTAAGCGTTCCGTGACATTTTACTCGACGTTTTTTTATGTCACGGCAGTCCGTGCCTAGAAATCATGGCCATTCGAACGCACAGTTTGTTGCCTCTAATTTGTTGTTTGATATTTTGGCGATTCGTGACATATAATTCGCAACTTGTCCTTCGCGGTGATAATAACAAAGTTCACCAACGGAAGCGCTCATTATTGCAACGAGCAAACTATCATTACGTTTTAAAATTTAACCTACCCGTCCCCGTTCCGTACATAATTCGGAAATATTTCTCATGGAGATTTCGACCGGTAGATAGTTTCATATAAAAATTATTTCATGTATACCTATTTCAGCTTTACAATGTTGTACCTTGATGTTAATTGCGCAACTTCATCCAGGGTGTGCATTTAAATAATATTAATAGCTTCATAAAAAATGGTTGAATGTGGGAAATTAATTAAGAAGGTAGTATTATATTATGAATTATAATTAATTAGACGACCTTTAACATGCAGGATGGTTGTCCTCTATTAATTACAACAATGGCATTATTTATTATTTATTATTTATTAAATGTAAATACAGGGTGATTGTGCCCTTGTTTTTTATCATTCTTTACAAAAGACGAACGATTCCTTTGATCCTCGGTACACCTTACTAGAGAGAGAAATATAGTTCTAAACACCCACGCGAACACCGAATTTAAATTGGGTTTATTCGGATTTGCGGAGACGAAACATTCATCCATCGTGAGTTCCGGGGAAAACGGAAGGTCGTACGATTTCCGTTATTGGTGGAAATGAAGTATTTTTCCATAAATTTACCCGTAAATTAGCATTTTCGTTCGCTATACCTACCGAAAACATTTCTAGTCAGTGAATATTTCTTTTTAGTTCTTGTATAGTTAAAACTTTGTTTTCGCAGTTTTTTTTTTAATTTTTATTTCAAATTGAAGTACATTTAATTTACTATAAAATTCTTGAAGTGCAAATAAAAAAAAATATTTAAAATACATTGAATCTAGTTCAATGCGTTTTAATAAAATGCAGCTTATGGGTCAACTTTTGCAATTATTTGTATAAGCACAAGTAGTAGAAATAATGCATGAAAGGGCTGTTGTGCCTAACAATAAACACTATTTAGACCTAACAAATAACTGTTTTTTGAGATTTTCAACTGCATATATCGTAACTTTTTATTTTATACATCAGAATCTCTACATGTTCTTGAAATTACTTTCTCACATTTTCCATAAATAACAAACAAATAGAAATAATCCTCATTAGTATAATTTAAATGATTCCCAGGCATTTTTATTTATATTTTCGGCAAAAACTATTCAGACACAACAATAATTTGACAACTAACTTGACAAATGTCATGTTATTTCAGTTGTTTTTGGAGTGTTTCTGGTCATGGCCAATTTGACAACAGATCTTACGCGAGGAAAACTGTCCAAAAATTAAAAAATTGCAAATATCTCCAAAAGCAGTAACAGTAATCCTAACAATGATTATATGGCTTGAAAGGAAATTTCAATCTGAATACGACAGAGTAAAAAAAATATAAGGTGTTCCATTTAAGTTAACAAAGTTATAGCTGTTTGAAGTTATCAAAATTTAACGGCAAAAACGAAACACCTAGTATTAAATGTTTTAATTTGTTGGTATACCATAATTTAGAGTTACCGGTGGGACACCTTGTATAGACAAATATGCGAAAATAGAAGCATTAAATATACAGCGTGGCAAATTAAAAAGCGCCAGCCTACTTTATACTTTTGTTACTGGAATTTATAAAAATTCATCATGTCAATTTTTCTTTTTGGGATTATCGAATCCATAAAAAGTAGGTAATTTTTTTAATAACTCGACAAACGATGATTCAAAAAATAAAGCACCGTTATGTAGCTAATCAAAATGGTGTGTGACAACATACCTCATAAAATCGTGTCTTTAGTTAAAATATTTTGTAAACATCAATACAATATCCAAACTTTATGTAAAATCGATGTTGCGACCGTGGAATTAATAAATGAATCTATTCACATAAAAAAACATACAATTGCAACATCGAAGAAACATATTTTAAAGTTATTTTTATATCATGTAGCATCGTCAAATGTCAGCCAAAAATCTATCCACCCTACATTTTCTCGTTAAAGAATGAATACTAACTAAGAAATTAAAATATCGCGTGACTTCCACGACTTACGATCATCATCAGAAGTGGGATAGTAAGCATAGCTGAAATGCCGTCTTATCAGAAGTGGGACAACCCGTAGAGTTGCCACCGCGAAACCAGGAAAATCGATATAACGCCTTTTCGACTTCCGAATAACAACCGCCGTCGCCGACACGTCACGGGATGCCCCTACCAGCGCCGGTCAGTCTGTACCACGAAATTTGATTGAGAGACGGCGACGCGTTGACGTCACCAGTGAGGGGGTGCGTATCGAACCCTTACGTCACGGATTCACGAGGTTGCGCAATATTAACATACCCTTTATGGGAAACTATAAATTGACATTCGTATATAGGGCATTAGTCATTTTTCAGTTCGTGTTCCAAGTCCCCGCAGTCCTGGCCAACCTTAGCGGATGTACCTACAGCTCGGACGAATTTTCACCTTTTGTGTAAATAAAGTGACTTGTCTAATGTTAACCATGTGATCTGTTTTGGAAACCGTGAAGATGATCGGGAATGGGATGATTCACGGACAGTACGTTTTTATAAGGTCTTGTTAGTGACGTTTTTATTTTTCCTGCTTGTGTCTCCTACTGCGTGGTAAAAATATTGATTTATTCGTTCAAGTGTTTTGTTTACATCGCAGCACTTTTGACAGCGATAGGGGGTTTTTAAAAATATATTTATAGGCAGTACGCCAGGTCGTTGCGTTAAAATTTGCCGTAGAATTTATTTCCCGCTAAAATTTACGACGCTCTTATATTATTTTTTATCGTTACATACAATTTGATGATAGCTTTGAAGCGGGCAAGTGGAGATAAATGTGTAAATATAAACAAACGATCAAAGATGGAAACTGTAATAAAGTGTATATATTTTTGTAAAAGTTGATACTAACTATTTTTGATGGTTAATTGAACCAATCGATGAAAAGTGAATGCATTTCACCATATTTTACTTGATTCCTCTTTTATTACCAGGAAATTATTTATTAAAATGTGCACCTACAATTTAGTTCAATTTAAAGCAAATATTTAATAATTTCGTTGTTTCTAGTTTTTTCTCAAACTATATTTTGTTATACGAGTAGTAAGCCTAAAAAATGTATTCGTATTGTTAGAAAAACAGTCAAATTTATTTTCAAAAGTCTACCCTATTACCTATACAAATTTTTTATTTTAAATTTAAAAAAACTTGAGGGTAATAGACAATTTTTAATGTCAAAACTGATCTACGGGAAATTAAGTACAGTCCTGGCTGGCATTTCATTCTTTAATATCTAATATTGACTATTGCAATTGATTTATTTGTTGCCTGCGTGCTCTAATATCCTAAAACGATTTGACATGATTTGACCTTCAATAATTGTTTAATAACTGTCCTCTGATTTTAATGGGACATTCGAACGCTTGAACGTATTTGACATTTACATGTGGAACAAACATCGTGATCGTGTAAAAGAAGCGACGCGACGCGATGGGATAAGACTATAAATTTTAAATAGTCCAATTGAAGTTAGGTTCATTTCATTATTATAAACCATACCGAGCTCGAACTCCAAAAAAGTAAATGACAAATATCATACCAGCTGTATACCTATACCAAAACATTAAAGTTCGCATTAAATAACAGATGAAGGTACCACGGGTGTGATAGGATAATAATAGGCCTCGATCGACGTACACTGTCGATCTCAATAACGATAACAATTTTACAGAAAATATTTAACGTAGATCCTTTTTAGACGTATGTTGATATATTTATGTCTTCTTGTCAAAAGCTTTGGCAGTTAATATAATTATTTCAACGTCTGCATGAGAGTGTAGTAACGAAATATTACAATGTACTTACTGAAAATATTTTATAACCTTCAATAAATCGGTCTGTTAGCGAGCACTAGGAATAAACAAACGTCACTGATAACCAATTTTTTACAACCACAAATTCACTAAATGTATTTCATCACTTCCAAGAACCTAAATAAGTAAATACTAATCCCCTGAAGTAAATAGTGAAAAGAATAACACAAATGATGCCACAACGCTACATTCAACAAAAACTGAAACAAACCACAAAAAAAACAAGATATACTTTGCGTGTATGGTTTTTTGTGACTGACTCTTTGCAGCTTGAGAATTATAGAATAGTCATTATTATGGATAAAATCATAATAAGTGTATCTTATTTATTAATATTGTCAAAATTGCTTAAATTTATTTTATATTTTTCAACGTACAAAATATTGAAACATTGTTTTTGATTAAAATTTTATCCAAAGTAGTATACATATATGTTTTACAATTCTAAAAAATTATTTTTTCAGGCTGATGCATCAGTTGATATGGCTGAAAGACACTTTTATGCTGCTAGTATGGATTATGTTTATCTAATACAGGAAGTTCACGAAAGGAAAAAATTTGAATTTGTTGAGACTTTGTTAACTTTCATATACGCATGGTTTACATTTTACCACCAGGTAATTTGTTATAAAAATTGTTATTATTATTATTATTGTTATTAAATTTTCCATATTTATCAGTACAATTCTATTTCTAGTCGGCAATCAATTTTTTGATAAACGAATTTATAATTTAAGGGTTATGAGTTGAAAAAGGACTACGACCCATATATGAAAGACTTGCAACAGAAAATTCAAAAGACTAGAAGCAACTTTGATGATTTCAGTCAGAAACTAAAGAAACGAATGTCTGAGGTGCAGAAACAGGACGAGCCAATCAGGAAAAACGCTAAAGGATGCCGGGAAGGATACTTATTTTTGCTAGAAAAAAGTAAATCTAGAAAACGAAAGGGATATCTTTTATTTTACTAAATGTTATAAATTTTACAGAGGCTTTTGGTACAACTTGGACTAAACATTATTGCAAATATGACAAAGAAACAAAAGAATTTAGCATGTTGTCATATAATCAACTTACAACAAAATCGGTAAGTAGATGTTTAGAACTGACAACAGTGTAAAAAAAATTAATTTCTTAAATACTAGATACAAATTAAATGTAGTTTGAAAAGATGTATTTTATGTATGATTATGCAATTAAAATTTCGTCACGTCATCAAAAACGCGTTATGACGTCATTTAGTGTGACCGAGAACACAACTTGCTTCTCAGTCATCTGTCGTTTAATCTGTCTAGTCTGCAATTCCTATGCTGACGCTATTGGGCTGTCCGTTCCTGTCATTTATCTCTTTGAAATTGTATCCATCTTAACCAGGTGTATAAATTTTGACTTGAAGTGTATAATAAAATATGTTTTGTAGCTTCCACAGCCCGAAACGATGGTTCTAACATCTTGCGTGAGACGAATGTCCGACTCCATAGAAAAACGGTTTTGCTTCGATATCCAGTTGGATTCAAAACCGGGAGTAGTTTTCACGTTCCAAGCTTTATCTGAACAGGACAGAAAAGCTTGGATGGACATAATGGACGGAAAAGAACCTGTAATATATTTACAAACTTCGACTATAACTTATTCACTTTGTTTAAATTTGTAGACGTACACGATTCCTAGCAACAATGTGATTAAAGCACCAAATTCAGAAGAAAGGGTCCTAGACGAAACCGGCATACAATTTGTCAAAAAATGTATAGAAGTATTAGAAAGTAGGGGCTTGGAGGAACAGGGTATCTATAGGGTTGTAGGGGTAAGTTCGAAAGTGAACAAGCTGCTGAATATGGGTTTGGATAGGAGGAAAAGCGAGAAATTGACTTTGGATGATCCACTGGAATGGGAAACCAAAACCATTACCAGTGCTCTAAAGACATATTTGAGAAACTTACCTGAGCCTCTTATGACTTACCGGTACCACAATGGGTTTATAGCTGCTGTCAGTAAGTAAACTTATTTTTATGAGAAATATTTAAGATATTGTCTCGTTCGTTATATTATAGCCAACAAAATGTATGTTATTTTTCAGAGAGCGAATCCAAACAAAGCAGAGTAAACGACGTGCACACTTTATTGTATCGTCTCCCAAAATCTAATTTCGAAGTATTAAAAATTTTAATGAAGCATTTAACAAAGTAAGTGAGCCATATTTTCATACCGTACACAAAACTAGACGAATTCTCTTTCAGTGTGGTGGCAAAAAGTGATAAAAACCTCATGAATGTAAGCAACCTAGGTGTATGCTTTGGACCGACACTTTTACGACCGGAAGAAGAGACTGTCGCCTCGATCCTGGACCTTAAATTTTACAACATAGTTGTAGAAATACTGATAGACAACTACGAGAGGATTTTCTTTAACGAGCCGGAACAGATGTCTCCCAAGACGGGCCAAGCAAGTACTATGAATGGCCCTAACGTCTCGAGTAGCGTCTCTGGCGGCAGCAACAGTAGTAACAGTCAGAGCATCTACAGTCCGCCAAACAATCACCTGCCTACGTACGTTGGTTCGGACGAGACCGTCAACACTGGAAATGCGAACAGAGCGTTCGTTAATAACGGTCACCCCGCGAGAGTTTCACCTAACTATAGAACACACAATCAGCCGTACACTTGTGTAAGTATTAATTAATAGTTGCTGAGCTTATGCAACCAACATTCCACGGCTGGTACTGTCGACTAAAAATCCCAAAAGCGGCATCAATATTAATAATTCGTTTACAATGAATAATGACAAACTGTTACGTCTACGCTCCAGATAATGTGATCGCTGATTGATTGAATGAAATCTCAAGAAAAATTGCACAATTACCAGCCAGTGAAAGAGAATATTGTGTTCTAAAAAATTTTAAGACCCTGAATATCAGGTGTATATTTCTCTTTTTCTAATTTTTAGACTGTGACCTCGTATATCGAACCACCCATTTCGTCTAGCATGCACAGCGTTCTTGAACCTGCAAATGGTGGATACCCAATGTCGCGGAGCGACCACGTACCTAACAGGCCACCTAGCCAGCAGAGATTAAAGCATTACGCGCCTAGTGTTACGTCTCAATCGGAAACAAATTTGCCGAACTTGAGGAGTTACAGTCCGAATAGTTTCAGGAATTATAGCAGACTCGGTAAGATTATTCGTTCTTGTCATATACTGGAACCTACGTTTTTATTTTATTTTAGAAGCAAACAGTACCAGCAGTTCAAATGAATCATTGTCTTCCACTTCTAGAGAGAATTTCATCGGTGTGACACCGAAGAAGACGGAGAGGTCATCGGTTTACATGGGTTACCCCAAAATGTACAAGTCTCCTGGAGACGTGTAAGTGTTTTGTTAAAATAGAAGTAATTATTTTTTATGTACACTTTTCTCTTAACCTACAGTTACTTCCGAAGAGCATCATTCATTTCTTTACTGTCACTATTTAGTTTTTACACTTTTTACGTTGTCCGATATAAGAAGTGTAACAACGAAATGAATCTGCTTTCAGCTACCCTAACTCTTTGATCTGTATTTTCTTCTTTCTGCTGTATTAACCTCGTTTTTTTCATCTTCTAACTGTACTAACCCCTACTTTAATCCTTTCAACCCTGTTAGGACGCTGCTAAATAAAGAACACGCATTACTTAATGTATCTTCAGGGAGGTCGAGCCCTGTTTTCGGGAGAGTACGGTAAGGACGTTTTACTAATTGTCACCACAGAATAGCTTTAGGATGTTTTGGTTTGGTCTACGTTCATCATTTTATCATTTCATCCTCAATATTTCCTTAAAGTCACCTTCCACCTTAAGAACGTTTTGTTGGATTTGTCTCATTATTTCACTTTAAATGCTATCGATCACAGCTTTTCAATATGCACAGGGCGTTCCGTTTTACATTCCCGCTGGCATTTCTTTAAAAACTGAAAGATGTATTTTATATCGGTACTAGTCATGAGCGAAACGGCAGTGCATATCAATTTTTTTATTAGTCCAGGGAACGAAGAGAAAATAGGTTAAAACCTCCGAATAAACATTACTTTTTAGGGAATTTCTTTGGGATCTTTAAATTGAGTATAGGACCTTCATAGTTGGCTCAAGAAAACTTCATGTTATGTAGAATCATCACACCAAATTTCATCAAAATCGGTTTGATAGATTTTGCATAATAATTTTGCAATCCAAATTTTGAAAAAAAATTTGTAAATTTTAAAAATTTTGCACAGCAAAAACCAAGGCCTTTAGATACTTGAAAATTTAATCACATATATAAGCTTTCAAAGGCTTTTTGAAAAAATTCGAATCCGTCAATTAGGAGAGCTTTGGCGCTTGTTTAAACATTGGTCTAATTTTTGTATTTATAAACAATTTGAATAACTTTGTCAATATTCAATCAAATCAAATTTTTTAAGCAGGATTTAAAAGTTATTGGAAAGATGCTTCTTTTTAAAAAAAAAAAACAGATCGATTGCTGTTTTTTTTTCATAGAATGTCTATTTTCCGAGTTATTCGAGAAAAACTACTGAAAAACATCTTTTTCTAATAAAAAATGTACATTTTCGATCACCAACAACTCAGAAAATATTGACTTGTCGAAAAATGTTCATAAGCTACTTTTTGCTTAAAATTTATTGCTTTATCGATTCCTGGGGTTATTTCCAATATTTTATTTTTCACCCCCTAGAAGGGGCTTCCACCCCCTGGGCAAAAGCGCTCATCGGCACTATATAACTTTTGTTTGTTGAGCTATTTTCTACCTACAGTCAAAGTTTCATATTACTCGGGTCTATCCGAAAGAAATCGGAGGGGAAACCCTTGGTTCCCTGGACTATATCTTCATACTTGCAGATTGTGTTGTGTGAAAAAATTTCTCTTTTCCAGGAATTTAAGAAATTGGATGCATTGAATACACAATTTTTGATAATTCGTCTCTTCCGTTGCTCCAAAAAATCAATCTTTTGCCAGATATTGGCAATTTTATTTGTTTCTCCACAAGAATAACGCTTTGTAGTTGCTGTAATACAAGTGCTTAATACTTCTGTTTTCAGACATTTTGTGCAGTTAGCTATTAAAGAGCAACAATCAAACAATAAAAATGTCTTTATACAACCATGTGATCTACATATATCTTTGGTTTCTAAGAAAATGCCACTGGAAATATCGCACCCTGTAGACCATTCTGAAAAACGTGATAAATTTCGTTTATTTTTTCCAGGAGAGTAAGAACATTATATGCTTGTCTTGGGGAACACGATGGCGAACTATCATTTGAACCAAATCAAATTATCACGAACGGTTAGTAGGCCCGTTCATTTTACTTGAGATTGTACTTATGTTTTTTCCATATTTTAAGTGAAAGTCTCGCAAGAACCGGGCTGGTTGGAGGGAACCCTGAACGGCAAGACCGGCCTGATACCGGAAAACTACGTAGAAGTTCTCCCTTGACAGAGCGGATCTCTGTCGAAACTATCCACGTCCTTGAGACACGGCCTCTGCAGAGCTTTGCATTTGAACAACTCTCTTCCGGGTGGGGGTCCCCACGAATCGAGATTAAGTAGGCACAGGCAGAGCTTAGATAGTACAAGAACATTGATGAAACAGTCTAGTGTAGAGAGGAAAAGTTCCACGTAAACCTGTACAATATACCGCCCAAATATTAACGGTGTTTTCCAAAAAGCATTTATCCTGAACGTTTTATATTTGGCATATTTTTTTATGTCGATGTGTTTTCCTTTTATAAATATTACGTTTTGGTAATATTAGTTCGTAAGTGTTGGGACTGCGCTTTTGCGGCAGGCCCTAATTTTAGATGCTTTCGATTTTTGGATAACGCAAGTATTCATATACAACAAACCAACATATCAGGCAAAGATCAATTTAAACAGCATATATATTTTTCGTAACCAGTTTCCATAGCCTAATTCTAATGAAACAAGATGTATGTGAAGAGGTGTCTAAAATACAATGTCCAAAGGTGAATCAATGTGTATATGTATATTGTAGATGTAAATAGTTAATGTCATGCACATAATTAGAAAACTATTTGGTCTCAATTTTTTTTTTTTCAGTTTTAAAGTAGTTTGAATCAACCAATCTACAATTTATTTCCGCTCTGGGCACGTCTGCTATATTTCTAATCGGCTTTTGAAGAAGATATGATTGAAATTTAATAATTACTTTGTAAAGCCACAATTTGTTCCTACTTCTCGATATAGTCGCATTTACATTTCTTAGAAAGTAGACGAAGCTGTGACAAAACGTAGAGTAATATTTTAAAATGTGCCCAGTGTAAATTTTAATTTTTAGTGTTATATACACACGTTCTGTGATAGTCCAGACTGGCACACTGATATAAATTAATATATTGTATATTGCCATAAATTATACCTGCTCTCGATTAAACGCCAAGAGATGCAAAAAATTATACAAATACATGCGTGATTCGACTATGTTGAAATCTCGCTCGTCTACGAGAGTTATATCGACTTCTATTTCTATTACAAAAGTCGCCTGGTACCTTGATTTTTATAAAAAAGAATAAAATTACTTAATTGCAGTCAGAATTTACAAAAAAACATTTGTTTATTGAAGAAATATAAATGACAATGATGTATGCAAAACATCATATTTGAATATTAGCGACAATTATTTGTTGCATCCTTATATTAATCACAAAAATTAAAAATTTATGGATTTAAAAAAAAAACATTATTAACGATATTCTAATATCTGATTATTTTGATGAAAACATTAAAAAAAACAAGATAATGCCAGTTTTTAATTCTTTTCTTTTGTTTTAATTATTTTAAACGGTGATGCATTTATTTTTAACTAGAATAAATACTACACATATTTTTTCGAGTATGCATTTATCAACTTCTAGAGTTTAATATTTTCCCAATAAAAAATTCCACATATTTTTAAAAAAATTTATTTTAAATTTTGGTCTGTTGAAGTGTCGTTTTCTCAAGACAAAAACCTCCCAAATATGTCGAAATTACCTTTTAAAGTTCAGCAAAAATTATTTCTCACTTGATACAAACTTAATAGTGGCAAGTAAATAATTTCTTGAAATAATCTTGCTCTGTTAAATATTTACGTGGAAGATACCGACAAAAAAATTGTAAAACGGTGGTTATAGAAAAATGGAAACCGACTTACATTTTCGAGACCTGGAAAATTTGTCGAATCTGCCTGGAAAGCCTGGAATTTTTTGGTCAAAACTTGGTATTGACTGATATTTTTTCAATATCGCTTTCCTAGATGTGAGATTTCAACATAGCGACAGAATTTTAATGGCCACTGAGGGATATTTTTCTTATAAAATTTAAGATAAATTTAAAACTATCCCGTACGATTTGAGAAATCGTAATTGCTAAACGCTTTACGATTTTGGCAATAAGTATATTTTTTAATAAAATTTGGAAAGAAAGAAAGTGTATGCAGTTCGATTTTGTCATAATTCTTCGGTGACCTTTTTAGGTAGGTTGGCTACGAATTACTCACTGTTTAACAGTAAATTTGAAACGGAAATTATTTTGAAAATAAAACATTACTTGTAATAAGTGATGACTGTTGTTAGGTCATTCGAAAACATGAGTGGATCTAGGAAACGGTAGGTATAATAATTTGTGATTGAGTTTCATTTTTCTATTATATAAATATATATCCAATAGCAATATTTATCTATAGATTTATTGGGACCATTCCCCTAAAACACCAAATTCTCATATCAAAAGTTTGATTAACGGTTATGAGAGAACTTTTAAGAAATAGTTACCTTTTTTAATTTAATCGTTTCTTGATATGTGTTTATAGTATTTAATATTTTAATTTAAATGTTATCCTTAAGCTTTTTATTATTTCCTTGTTATTAATATATTTTCAGATATTGTTTTCGACATACATATTTATTTGTGATATTTTTATTATGTATGTTTACCATTAATATATTTTATTATACAATTTAATTGGAAAAAATATAATATATAATACTTAATATGAAATTGTACTATATTTATGTATGTATATATTTTATTCAGTTGTTAATATTATAATTTTCATTTGCATTGTCAACAATTGTAATTGTTGTATTATTATTTATAAATAAAATATTATTTCAATCACGTTTCTTAATTTGATTTAGAACAAGACCCGCTAAAGGTAAGATTATTAGAGACAAAATTACACATTTTTCATGGACTCGGGTATTGCCGTTGTATTTGCTGAGATTAGATTAGGAATATATTCATTATCGCTAGAAGAAAAATATCGAATGAAATTCTACTTTCTTGATGCCACAAAAAATGGTATAATATTTAAGCGACAGGTTTGTATCATGATTTGTCAACATTTAAATGAAGATGATGGAAAGATAAAGACGATTCAATCTGATCGAAGTTTTCGATACAGGCCAATGAAAATCTAAACTACCAGATAGATTAGATGTAAATTGCACTCATAAAGCCAGCAAACTATGCATTAAAATGTATTTTTTAAGCTACATCTGCAATTATCACTTACGTAAACACTATAAAGTTATTACTTTAATATTAGTGCATATTCCAGATTTAGAACAGCTTTAGAAGAAGTAAATGGTGTAAATACAATAGAGTAGAAAAACGAGGCTTACCTCTGTCTTCTATTAGGTACATTGTTAATGGCCCTTGGAAGCATCTTAAGTTTTGATTATCGTCTGTTGGTATCGAAGCACTGATTATTTTGGTCGAATATATCAACAAATCTACTTGTAAATTCTCACCGTTTTGCTATTCACTTATTTTACACATTATGACCCTTGAGATTTGAATATTGTCTGTTGGAATGGAAGCACTAATTATTTTAACCGAATATATCAAAAAATTATAAATTATCACCATTTTCCTACTCACTTTTATCATCAAAAGTAACTTTAAAATTTCAAAGGAATATCTTACTTCCGACACCAGATGGCAGGACCCACAATACATATAATAATAGAAGAACACGGAGCTCTTAAGAAAAAGAGAGAACCGTAGCGCACCTACCGGCCGTCAGGTTAACTAAAAAGGCCTTCGATAGCAGGCCTTGATGATAAATGACGGGGTCATTTCGCTTTTATTATACTAGATGTCTTGTAAAAAAGTATTGGAAGTAATATTTCTGTAACAAATAACCGAAATAATTTTTTTTTAAGTAAAAATATTGATATTAAATATGGAGCAAGACCATAGACTGTCTAAGCAGCATCAGAAATTAGAAATAAACATGCTTAGAGCATATACTACATGGAGTAACAGCGCGCATTAAAAGTGTACTCAGTAGAGAGAAACGGCGATAGTTTGGGTACTCGCTCTCTCTAATCGACTAGAAGTTGTATGAGTTAGTCACACGAGGGCGAGAAACTATTTCTTCTCCGTCACCGTAAGCGTGGTTCTCCATGTAGTATATGCTCTTAGGTTTGTAACAAGTGGCGATCGCGAATTTTTCTGAAAGCGGAATCAACTGCGCTTCGTAAACTTTTAGGTATATTTAACAATCAAAATTTGAAAAAAATTTTGATAAAAAAATTCAATTTTTTGGACCTTATAAAGCAAAACACTAAAGCAAAATATTCCTGTAGTTTTCAGATTAGAAAAATTTAATTATTTATAAAAATCGATATATTTAAAGTGATTGTAAAATGAGGAAAGGAAAAATAAACTCAGCGATTATTTTAATATTTTAATTAAAATTAACAGTTAATATAAAATATATTTTCTTCAATAACAATACTTTAAATATATTTATAAATATCTTAAATCGGAAATAGTCATTTAATACTTAAATACATCAGTTTTATGGTATAAAAATATATAAAACTATATCACATTTAGTTTAGCTCCTTACGTTACACCTCTAATCTCAATTTCCTTAAATTACAAAACAAAATATAAATTAAATGTATTTGGTAATGGCAAGTAATTGTTTATACTCTCCTTTAAAATTACAAATATATACAGTAATCGAATTGTTTAACAAGTTCAAAAATAGATCTTTTTGGTAGAAACACTAATAAATTAAAACTTTTCCTTCCCACTCAATTCCTTCATAAGAATTCTTTTAGATGTAGCGAATCGTACATTTTTATTCATAAAACTATGTGTTTATTCCCTGAAAAGTTAATGGCGCCACTTTATGGTTGTTTAAGATGTATTCCCTGCTAGGTTGGTTGGGCTGGTCCGATTCGGGACGCAAGTCGGTTCGGTCGGTAGAATACAGTTCATCTTCAGGCTCTTCGACTTTACACGTGCCCGTCCACTCGCTTTCTGGGTCCGAGAAAATGTTGCAAGAGTCACTGTCGAGTATGTCTTCCAATACGTATTCCGACATATCTGCAACAGGAAAATTGTAATGTTCACGATGAATCAAGTTCGAGATTTTTATGAAATTTTTCGTATGTTCCGATAAGATAGACAAAAAGTAGTTCAAATGTCCTAGGCTTAATTTTTGAGAAAACAGCATCTCGATATTTCGATTTTACAGAAATTCAAGGTAATGTTGATTTTTTAATGGTGGCATGACATAAAAACGGATTTCATCTCTTTTTATAACAAAAATTAGTTTTAACACAGCCGAGCTACTATAGAACTTCATGACTGATACTTACGATCGTCAATTGTTTGCTGCGCTTGCCACGAAGATTCGTCCCAGTCATCGTCAAACTCCAAATTTTTGTTGACGTCTCGCTCATGTGAAGTTTGAACGATCGGAGAATCGCTGTCGGTTACGTCAAATATTTCCGTGACTTTAACCTGAAAAGAAATATAAAATTAATTATTCCGCGATAACGGACACAAGGAAACAAGTGATACCAATAATTACCTTATTATTTTCATCCAAATAATAGTAAGCCATGATGGTCTCATGTTGTGACGTAACTTGGAGGATGTGCTCGAACGTATCGTCATCCATGGTGTCGCTTCTGTTAATCGTCAAGCTAGGTTTCCTTTGGAGGATTTCTTTCGTTTTGAATTTTCGCTCTGGACTTTGACACAGAGGCAGATCACTGCAACAAAATGGATTGGGTTATTTAATTTCCTACAGTAGACCTTTTTCACAAAATTTCAATTTTTAACTATTTTTGGTCTTAAAGACAGACATGGATTAGTACGGGTGAGATTCATTCATCGGTTGCTCCATCTATGGCGTATTGATGAGAACTAACAAGTTCAAAACCAGTATATGTCTGGTGGACAGCTGTGAACTAAATATTAGCGCAGCAGATATGGACGCAGGTTCGGAAATTAGTCTGCATAGTGGTTATTTCCCGCAATATCGTTATTTTAAATTTAATATTGCCTTAATTTAAATTCATTAAGTAACGATGTGTAATTAATTTAAGGGAAGTCACGGTTAGTGAAAAAAATCCCTTAATTGAATCCAAAGGTACACGTACATATTTTTTTAATTTCTATCCTTTGTTGAAACATCAAAACATTTAAATAAAACTATTATTTGGAAATATACATTACGTAATGCCATGACAAGCTTATGATGTCATTCTACTCTATTAGTTTGATAAAAATAATATATTCATAAACTACGTAGATAAAATGCTACAAAATTAATTTTTTTATCGACGTAATAAAAAATTTGCAAAAAAGAAGGCACTATTTCTTGTTATTTAATTTCCCCTCAACTCAACTTGAAGTGATTAATTACTAATACTGAATGTTAAATTATATTCAACGTAATTATGTCATTATATAAAAGATACTTTCTAACATACTAATTTATCGTGTCCGGTATTTTTTTTTTACATAAATAAATAGATTATAATTCAAAGTGCATGATTCACGATGAAACTTTACCCATTACTCCTAGTCGTTAATTATATATTTTAAATTAATTTCAGCTGTTTATCAATAGGAGAGCAAATTTCGAAAAATATATATAAAGATTAAGCCGTCAAAACAGATTAAGTAATTTATAATTATTTACAGCCATGACGGAGCAAGAGCCTTTGTTCTCGTGACATTGATTTTTACTCTGTTGGACTTTCAACCCAAATTTAAAATAAAACTGATAGAGTGAGTTACTCACCTGTCATCTAAGTTGAGAGTAAAGTTCAAGTTCACTTTGTTTTCGCTGGTTACATTCTGGCAAGCCTCGACATCATATTTATCTGAAATAAGTATAATAAACTCGGTGTAACGGTCGTCGTCCACAAATATCAAATGAAAATGGAATTTTTACAAGCATTTATGCACAATTTTTCCCGATTGGAATGCATCGTGGAAAAATTTTAAATTATAGTTGCTAGAAATACTAATACGTGCTAATAAATTTTCTAAATATATGAGCTATTAAAGTTAATTATTTAATTTAATATTAACGTCAATGAAAAAAAAAAAAAAGTAACAGTTACTTTTTTTTCTGTGTTCAGTACCCACAAAAATAAACTACTCAATCGAAAATTTATATAAAGGTAATTAATACTTTTGAAATTTTCTCAAATTTTTTTTATATTTCTTCTATATTTAATTTAGTTTATTTTTTCCATGCTAAAATTTCCTCAACTGCAAAAAAACTAAAAAAAATATGCACTTTCAGCCTCCTCCTGTATATACAGGCTATACCCTAGTATTACTTACTTCCTCCGTACTCCGTAATTGCCAGTTGACACGTAATTTTGGCGCTGATTTGTTGCCTCTTCCTGTTGACTTTGTTGAGCACATACGAGACCTTATCCATAAAGAATTTGCTCAGTTCCCAGGCTCCGTTACCGACTTGGGGTGCGGCTACCATAAACCTACGAAGATAATTCTTTAGGATTCCAAATAAGAAATACCAAATAAAACTATTTTAATAAAATCGTCTTATGTGTCAGAAAACATTTTTTATAGAACACGATATGCGATTGTCGTCAATAATAGATTTACTTGAACAAAATAATTTGGAATCAACTTTTACATCTCCTAAATACTTTACAATATCTGGTCACCCATAACACAGCCACACACAAAAAAAAGTTGTCTGTACTTCATGCGACATATGTTATCCTCGAAATCCCCCTTATACCAAATTTGGCGCGAATCTGTTGTTTTGAAAATTTGGTCGGCCATCTTGGATCCGCTATCTTGAATTTTGCAAAATTGACCTTGGATTCGTAATCAGCGATCCCAAAAACGCCCGTACACCAAAGGCGCGAGTCTGTTATTTTTTGAAAATTCGTGATATCCGACCTTAATAAACCCGTTTTTTTGAGGTTAGAAAAAGAACCATCAATTCTAACGGCGGATTCACGTTCGGCGAGATCTTAACTATACAAATGAACATTCGAATATAGAAAAAATTTTTCTTGTATTTTCCTCAATTCTAAAAGTACTTTTTTTGTGTGGCTATGTAATTAATACTATGTATACATTTGTGCCAAACAATTTTTTTTCAATCCACATTTTTTGTACATATACGAATATTTTGAAGTAACATTTTTTATTGTACAACGTACCAAAAATCAATTGTTGAACGTTTCGTACAGATTTTGATGGATAATTTCCATTTTATGGGTATTTTGCTACACTATAAACAATTTACGAGCTATTAATTAAAAAATTTATATTTATGATAGGACAAAATACCCCAAAAAAACTATTTATAAAATGCCACAAATGCGTACTTTCAGACAACATAAATTTCCAAAAATTAGTGAATCACTAAACACGTTTATTTCGAAAATGGTTCTTTTTATCGACAAAGTACACAGTTTTCACTTAAAAAACCATGAAAACCTTAAAAAAAGTAAATTTAACAATTAATTTATGTTTTAAAGTGATTATTTTCCACTTTATACAATGTTCATAATAAAAAATAAATCAAAACTATTTCAAGTATTTAATACAAAGCATTTGTTACTATTTTTTTAAAGCACTGTGTTTAGTTTGTGAATGTCAGTGTCAATCGACCTAGTTTAGATGAAATACATAATAGCAATCCACCTGATATAATGTAATATGACAACAGGGCGGTACGCAGGCAAAAAATAAAGGACCAAAACGAATTCAATGAAATTTGAATGTCCGATTACGACACCATTTCACTTTATTACATTTACTTTAGTTTTCAATTTACAAAGTGTCCGTGACTTTCTGTGTGAAGTATTAGTTTTTAATAGACTCAAAATTAGGTTTAATTTGAAAGTGAAATTAAAGTAACATTTTAAATATATCCATTATAAAAATTTTCATAAAATCAAATCACATGGAGCAGTTTTATCTGAAGACAGTATTTCAACATCCATTACTCATATGAACATGCATTATTTAGTACTGAAGCAACCAGATAGCTTATCTACATAACAAGCCCAATTAACTTTGAAAAAAATTACTAGCAGCTGCGCCGCTGTTTACTAGAAAAATGGAAAACTTTGTTCCAGCAAATCTCCGACGGAAAACTAATCACGCTGATGATAAATCTATCAACCAGGAAAAAATATGATTTTTTAATGCTTGAGGATTGTGAACAAGATAATAGAGCTGGTCAGTCAAATTGTGGCAAAGTTTTGCAAGTTAATGTCAGAGTTGTTTCCAATATTACGTTTTTTGCTTCAAAATTTTCAACTTTTGCCATAATTTAACTGTAGCGATGGAAAATTATGAGAACAGTAAACACGGCGACACGAACAAACGAAAAATGTAAGGAAAATAAAATGTTAATCACCTCTTCTGCATAATAAAATGTTGATGGCATGCATTGGGGGACTGAAGGATGGCGTTACCTAGCAAGTTAAACTTGTACGATTTCGTCTCAATGTTAGTACCATTAATACTTAGAAAATCGAAATCGGCTAACTTCCTATAAATCAACCTATGACCTGAATTTAGAGACGGTATGGTTTGCAACCTGTAATGGTGTTAATTTTATGGACTTGTCGACAATTGCAACAAACAATTCACATACAAGTTTCAGATGTTGTTAATATACAAAGAAGTACGATTCTACCACACTGTAAGCTACGATTGGTACTTACTTGGTGAACGTAGCGTACACGACATCGGCGGGTAACGTGTACGGAAGACTGAGCACGGAGAGCAGCTTCATCCCTCGATGTTTGAACAGCCAGTTTATCAATCCGTTGTTGGCTTTATCAATGGCCTCTTGGAATTTATTTAAAACGTTGTCGGGCACGTTTGAAACAAGCGCCTCCTAAAAGAAAAGAAACATTTAGCTCGGAAAATATATAATTCCTGTTTAAACCTTACCTGCCTGTGTATTTTGCATTCTTTGCATTGCGGATCGTACTCCACAGGTTCCTCGATCGTCTCCGACACTACAAACGTAGATTGTACAGCGAGACACCTCGTACAATTTATGAGATTGTTCCTATGTAAGAACCTAAGGGCATCGTCGAAGCCCTGCTTGCACATGTTCGACAGAACTTCCGGTTTCGGAGGGAACAGTATTCTGACCATCCTATATATGTTGTGTTTCGATAATTCTATACTGGTGTTTGCAATATTTATCTGAAATAAAACATAAAGGTTAATGACTGACCAAAGATACGCTATAGACATTTATATCTTTTAAACGTAAACATTTCTACTGCGTTAAAGTTTTTTTGACTTAAAAAGATGTCTACATAGGGACGAGAGCTTGTGACAAGACGCAGGAAAAATTTTTACGATCTTCGTATATCTGATTGCACAATTAATTAAACAAAGTTAAGGAAACGCGTGCGATTATTTAAAAATATTATTAGAGTAACAAGTGAAGCAGCATATAATAAATTCTGGCCTTGAACTGAGCTTACTGTGGCGCAAAACAAAAATATTGACATTAATTAAATAGTTACATATAGAAATATTGTTATGAAGACCGTTAACCTCAATAAACAAAAAAACAAGTGCAGTTCTTAAATGCAGTTAGTACTTATCGTCTTAAAATTTACTCATTAACTAAAACCTCTCGTAAATATATTAACCAATTAATATAACGCAAACTCATTAATATAACGCCTACAACTATATCAAGAACTGAACATTCAACTTGCGACTGTTCCTAACGTTAATTCCAATATAGATTAAAAACTTACGTGAAACAGCTGCGAACTGTCGTCCCTGGGGCATATATCAGTTTCCCCACAAAAAGGACTGACTGTGATTGTGTTTTCATCTAAAGTGGGCAAATTGTCACTACAACCACCGTCCATATACCTAACACCTTTGAACTTAGGAGGTATCAAACCAGAAAAAAATGGTATGAAAGCTGAGGCCAGTAAGGCTTGTATGAGTTCTTCCCTGCTGTCAAATTGAGATACCTGAAATAAAATATCTCTGATGAGATCTACAGACAAATTACCACATTCATTATATTTACACTGGCAATTGTGTAATGTCTCACATTGCTAGGTTGGCAGTCCCAACACTGACCAATAGCAGTGGCTAGTCGTTTAAATATAAATTTACAAAACATTATTCAGTGTTATCTCATATATCAACAAAATTTTGAGTTTTTTTTTGAATAACAACAGCTATACATGAAAAATGTAGGTAGTAAAAAATGTATATTTAGAAACATCAAACACAAAGTGACATTTATCAAACATTTGTTTCTTTTAAATATAAAAAACATAAATTGATATATCAAGCTGCCATTATTATTGATTTTATGGTTTTATTAATTTATTTAATTATTGTCTAAGTATCAAATTGCCCAGTGAGTTCCATGGCATATTACAAATTATCAATACTATTTTAATCAAATGAATTCAACAAATTTTTCCTAAAAAAAATCTGTCAAATGAAGTCAAACTGCTTGACTTGATATGATATTTAATTATTATTTATATATTTTTATTAATTATTAATTAATTTAATTTAATTGTTTTAATATATTTTATTACGACCCACGTGTTGTTTTATCTTAAACTTGCGTTTCTGAAACCCTCCCATAATAAAATAAGAAAACAAAGTGCGCCGCTGGAATGTACGATTACCTCACGGACCTTAATCACAACACATATTTTACTAAACAAACCTGGCCAATTACAATTATAATATAACAACGACTATTCTAGTACCTACCACAACATTTTTTCCGTCGTGGACTCTCGTCAGAGAAATGTGTAGCTTGCCGCTGACGCGGGCGTGCGCGTCGTCCGGTAGAAATTTTTCTAAGCCTTCCAGAAGAAGCCTGTGTATATTGAAAGACGGGGAGAAAGCACCGAGAGAACGACTGCGGGCTTCGATTGCTACTTTGAGAACATCACTGGTCATTTCACCTGAAAAAGAAGAAGCAGAAACCGTTAAAACATTGAAAAAGGAAAACTATTTCATAGTTTCCAATAAATTGTCTGGTAGTACTAAGTTTAAATTACCTTTAGATTTGGAATTTGGATACTTTTTACATATTTAAGGAATAAACTCTAATAACTAGTAAATATGTTATAAATTAGTCATTAAATAATTTAATAGTTCTATGAAATACAGTTATATTGATGTTTATATTTGTTTATGTTTATTAGTATTACATACAATGGTACCGCTGCAATTTTAATCATAATTACCCCAATTCCATCAGAATCTACATAGATAAACGACCAGTGGCGGTTTCTATATAAGGTCATTTGGTTAATGACCTGCCATATAAATAAACGAGAATAATGACCTACTAGAAACTGTCAAAAATGTGGGGAATTTGTATTTTTACTTAAATAATTCTACAGTAGCCATGGGAGACAATTTCTAAACTGAGTACTGACTTCGAAGCTCAAAACAGAGATTTGTATCTAAAAAAATGGGTTTGGATATACGTATAAAGCAAGGAATGGAAACGAAAAAAAAAGAAGTCTTAGTATTATGAAGTGACTCCATGACCACTATAATGTATATTATGTCACGGTTTAGTATCAGGTGGAAGTTTATGTCAATACATAAACAAATATGTAAAACCAAAGGCAAATAAAAAAAACAAAAACATATTTTCAATTTATCCATCAAAATATTATTTGACATTCTCGGTAAAAATAAAGACGAATAAAAAATCATCAAAATATTATTCGAGATACATTTGAAAACACTACAGATTTTTTCAAGATGGTTTATTTTTAGAAAACATTACCTATGTACAATGAAACTATTTTTCTAAATACAGTAAACAATAATTGTTTATAGTCTTTCCAATCTCAATTGAAGAACCAAGAGGTTGGTAGTATTATACCAAGTTCGGTCGCTGAAGCAGCAACTCGGCATTGAAATATTTGAAAAACTTGTTCCCATATGTATTTAGTCATACCCATATACAGGTCTGGTCGCCCAGTTGAAGAACGAGCGCGCGGGCAAACGTGGCACAAACACAGCCGCACTGGGCGACCTGGTCATAAATTCAGTTCTCAACAAATGGCTTAGCAGGGCAGTGCAGCAATGCGGAATTTGGTGTGATTCAGGTAATTTTAATTTATTATAGGCACCTTCTATTAATCATTCATATTACAATTGCGAAAGGAGAAATAAGAGGGATATTTTTTTTACTTTTATCAAAACATGGCATTTTAGATACCTTTTGAAACGGAACAAAGCGAAATTTACCATCAATATAATAAAATTGTTTGAGGACATAAATAATTAAAATATGTTGTTGGCTAAATATACAAATGGTACAAATTATTATAGTTTTTTACCTTTAGCAGAAAACTTTTTTAGGAACGCCTATGAAACTCAATTTTATTGCTAGGCGTTTTTATAAATGTTCAACTGACTTCGGAAAGACTATATTTACTTTTTCAGCAGATTTTTTTCTAGATTAAAGTATTATTAAATAATTTTTGTTTAAATAAACAAATATTTAGTCTTAGAGAACAAAGCGGTTCAAACGAATCAAGTCAAGTGAAACGTGGAATGCATTATTTTGCTTGGATATTGCAAACATCATTATACGCAGCAATTATTACAGAACTTACTTATCAGTTAAAACTCCTACTTTCTCTACGCAGTGAGATGACCAAATGAATGCAGCAACGGTATTTCTATAAGTTCAAACAAATTTTTTTTCCATTGTATTTCCCATAAAGAAGCAAATTATGTCACAAAATTCAAACTCTTAAAATCACAGTTCTACTTTGTCATTCATTAAGTAGGTACCAAATACATGAAATCCTCTTGAACTTGAACCAAAAAATTCCAAGGTAAATGATCTAACTTCCGTAACGATCCAGATCAGGGAATTAGAAAGCATCTTCTAACTTTAACCACTGGTTGTAGTATAAATTAACAATAAATAATATATTCAAAGGTTTTAACCAGTTATATGAGCCATGGTATTTTGTAACCAATATACAGGGTGTTAGAACTTTGACTGCCCTAATTTTAACAGACGACAGAATACATTAAAATAAACAAAAAAAACTAATATGACATGGGTCCTAAACTCAACCATTTCCGGGAAAAAAAATTATCAAATCTCCAACTTGATGTACAAAAGTTTGATTAATATTGACATAACTGCGTGCATAGAATACCACAAAATACAATGTTTATACTTTTTTTAACTTCTTTATGCTTAATTCTAAAAAATAATTAGCATTGTAATAAATTTAAAATTCATATAGAGCAAAATGACAAGGGCGCGGCGGATAAGTCAAGGTACTAAGCTGTCCAACAATACGCAATTTAGTTTGTGTTGGTATCTGGAATTAGACCGTGTCAGAGTGGTTTTTGCTATTTCCTTTTCTCGAGGCGTTTTACAGCGAGTGCGCGAATATTGAATTCGAAGGTGTCGTGCTTGCATCGAAAATGGTGGACATTTTGAGCACATGTTGTAGTTTGTATTGCACCCGTGCGTTTAAAAATTACTGAATTTTGCTTTTTAGCAAGTACCTAAATTATTTTGAATACGTATGATTATTTGGATGCCGTGAATCTTTGGGTACTTTAATTACATATTTTTCAAATTCTTAATTTGATTAAAAGTTCCTGTTTTAAGAGATTCATAATTACTAAAATTCGAGCTAAACTTTAAGCACATCACGATCTTCGTACTACAAAATCGATACATTTTATTTTATTTATTTAAAAAACAATTGTCTTAAAATTTACTAAATGTTTCACAATAATAGTTGTTTACATGTTTGTTATTCCGCAGTACAAGTCTGCCGTGTGCATTACTGGACTTAGTATCCTTTGTGTATATGGTGGCAAATAGTACCGCATTTTTTTACTGCCGAGGAACAAACCCCTTTTAAACTACTGTTTAAATAAGATACGTTATCTGAATGAATCCAATTTGTAAAACGACACACCTAGAACAATAGATTTCCCACTAAAAAGACTAATACAATCAGTAATGATAATGATAATATGTTAATCAGCAATTTAACAAATATTATTCCATAAATCTATTATCTCTACATTATTATGTGAAAATTAAACAGTAAATATATCGTTATCATTTAAGTAAATACGAAATAAGAACATTTGTTTAAAAAAAATAAGTATTTAACTATTCTTCGAGATACAAAACTGAAATCGATTGTTGTGGCATTATCTGCTTTTAATTCTTAATCTTAAATTATTTTTAATCCTGAGATCGTTAATAGTTGTTTTATTATTTCTCTTAGACCTCAATTTTTAAATATTTTTCAAATATTCTCATAAATAACTGTTAAATTATTTTTCCCCGTTTTCAGCAAAAAAATATATGTTCAAAAGTAAAAGGGAGGTTAGCGTTAAAACTATGAATAAAACATGAAAATACAAATACAATAATTAATTTTTTATGTTACCTACTTGTGCGAACATGATATTTTTTATGATAAAAAAAAATGATATCAACGAGCTGGACGTGGGTATAATAAAGATAAAAAGCGGTAATAATGATAATTCCTAACAAAATAGAGAACTTTGTGACCGATACTCGAGTCACAAATTCACAATTACATTTTTTTTACCAAGAAACTGTGAATTGTTTTGAAAATATCATGCATGTAATAGGTTTTGTATAACACTAAGTTACAGCAACAGATACAAATTTTCATTTTAAATTCAAAACATATTTTAATTTATTTCATTTTTATTTTGATAGGAATGGCAGAAAATAACATCCGATTTGAACATTCTGTAATACTGGACTGCCATTTCTATTTCATAAATAGCAACGAGGTAATTATATTTATTGATATTAAGTTGGAAAGGAAGGCTTAACAAATAACAATAATTGCAATATCTTTTTACAAAATTTCCTTTAATTTTTAGTTTCTACATTTTATCGTTATATCAAGGCATGCAAGGTATCCTGTAATATATGCTTTGGTATATTTTTAGAAATGCTCTAAATTAGATAAAAATACTTCAACATATTTTTTAAAACGACCTTGCATGGGAAAACACTTCAAAAATATGACTATTACATACATATTTTATTGTGTGATAAACCAGATAAACAAAGAATATCAAAAGTACTTGAAAAGAGGACAAAGGGATACGGGGATTTAAATATAGTTTGTAGATTTATTGTTCTACCTATCTACAGAAATTTTAATTATCAATAATAACAACAGAAACAGTGTCCCTAACTTTATGTCCAAGTTAAAATACAACTGAGAATTTATCAGAAAAATGCTTGAAGGTATTTAGAAAAATTTAAGGAATTTATCATATTCCTGACTTTAAATTTTATTGGCATTTGCTATGTATTTATTCACCATAAAATGTGGAAAATAACTTGACCTGTATTTCTTATTTTTGTATCTCATTATTTTACTGACAATTTAAAATATACATGCACAAAAATAAATCGAATTTGGCGGAAAGTGGAGACCTTTTTACTATACTTTAATTGTGCCACCTGTTAATAAGAAGTTCAATAGTCTAAGTACCATACAAGGTTGAGGACAATGGCATACAATTCGAATAGCAATTTTTAAAATACAGAATTTATATAAGGGTTATTTATGTATGACTGGAAATTGTTTGAATTTTCTTATTAACTTTCTTTGTTGAACAGTATTCAGGGACGGAATATTATACATTTTTATTGTAAATACCCCATTAGCGCCAACTACATTAGCTCCAACTGTCGTGTTTTATTACCTACTTCAGGTATCTCGATGTTAAATTTGGTAATTTCTAGAAAACGAAAATATTTCTTGGCAGTTCTAGAACGTTTATGTCACAGGAACTATTTATTACTACGATGCGATGGCCACCACATGAAATAATATAGATAGCGGCTGTTAGGATTAGGAATGAGATTATGGTAATGCGTGTGACAAATCTCTAATCGTGAGAAGGAAATAATTAAACCACAACAAACACACGCGATTACTAATTTTGTTTGTGTTAGCTTTTGTGACCTTCAGGGATCGGTAACCATATCACAAAACGTGGAAATCGTACTTCGCAATTAGTTCCTATCCTAGTTGCTTGCGAAAACAATAAAACGATTATCGGTATGACCTACTAGTTTTGAGTGTACCACCCCTGCTCACGGCACAATTATTTTATTAGGAGAAACATCGGCTTTGAAAATAACAGTGACGCAAACGCTGTTGTTCAGAATGTATAAGCAATTTTGTTTTTTCTTATCGGAACGCAATTAATATCAACAACGTATTTATGATTTATAAATCATACTAAATGCGAACTATGTATATCTAACAATAATTTAATAGTAGGTATATACATTAGACCTTTTATTAAAGCTAATATACTATAAATTTCAAATCAATTAAATTTTCAAACTGTGGTTATCTACCTACTAAAAACAATAACAGTGGACTTTTTTCACTAGTGTTAACTTCACTTTCAATAAACGAATAGATGATATTTATTTTGCACCTAAATTTCCTCAATTACAGCATTAGGTACTTTATATTTTTTTATAATATTGCATTTTCCCGCTAGAAAGAACCAATCAAATAAAAGACGGACACGTTGCCAAGTTACCAAAAAATCACATCAACAAAAAGAATTATATTAATCCTATTTTACTTTTAATCTAAATTGACTAAAACTAAACTGACCAAAACAGAAATTTAATCAAAATAAACAATGAATTCAATGACAAATGTAGGTTTATACTTGGGTAATGCTTGAAACTTGAAATTACCAAATGTGCTACAAAGTTCCTGCATGTTGCACTGCAGTGCACTTCAGAACATTAAACGAAAAACGTTAATTTCGACCGACAATAAAACTAAATTGAATTCACCTACCACCATTGAAAAGTTGTGGAAATTGTAAAGTCACAACTCTAGTCGGCGTGCCGACCTTGTTTGTTGACATAGGTTATTTTTACGAACTGTCGTAGGTAGGTAGGTAAAATAGAGGTGTTTAGTAAACACTGTTTACTCTGTCGTTTGTTAATTTTAATTACAATACATAATAATTAATTATTTTCTTTACACAAAAACTATCGTCATATCAATATAAAGCCGTTATCACATCGGTAATTTTACATTTTTATGAAATTTATACGTCAAAAACAATTGATTTTGTTACTAAGTCAAACCCTAAAAACGTCAATGTCAACAGTCATTCATGAATATTAACGTTTATTAATAAACTGAACACACTACCTACTGTATTGTTCCTACCTAATTTCAAAATTACTGAAGTGAAAAACACAAGTACTTACATAAGTACTAGAACCAGATTTTCGTAATAAAATTTGTTTCAATAGATTGGCAGACTTACCTATAGGTAAATCACAAATTAGGCAGCATGCTGCAATGGCACCCGCAGAAGCACCTGATATTTTATTCAGTAGCAAATGAGGCGCGTATTTGCGAAAACAACAAGCGACCCCCACATGATAAATACCGAGAAATCCGCAACCAGCAAATGACAGATTCATCTTAAACAAGTATCACAAGAAACAATGAACACAATAAATATTAAACAAATTCCAGATAATTTCGTAATGTTTTTTTTTAATCGAGTGTATTTTAAAAACTGTTCCCTACACTTCCTCTCACGACAGACTTAGCTGGACTAATTAAAAGACTGACAATTTGATGAAAATATAGCTCCAGTAGTAGCGACTAGAAGCATGACGATGATGCCACTAGCCACTTCCTCATAAGATAGAAAGAGATGGGAAATGCCGGGCACGTGGAAAAATTTATGGAAGGAGAATAGCGTGACGCATATCTCACGTCATTGGTTAAATGTTGTGGTGTGGTCCTGGGTCGTCAATGTGGGAAATTAGAACTTAAAACGAACAGGCCGACAGGCCTCGGGCCCTATTATTATTTTTAACTTAATTTTGCTTTCTTGCTTGCCTCTTTTCTTTCAATTTACTACTTGGATGGATTCATTTGGCTGGCTTTAAAATATCTTCAATAGATAAAATGTTTTAAAGTGGAAGTTGAAAGGTGTTTATCTCAACCAGTTATCTGCGGCGTCAGCGTCGTAGTCAGGGGAGTAGTAGAGGTACGGGCAGAGGCACAGGAGATATTGAGAAATACTGTCAATTTTAGACCAAAAAAATTATTACTCAAAAATTACTCGCTTTACAATGGAGGAGATACATATTTTTTGAAATACAATTGGGGATCAAAAAAATAATGACCTTCGTCGAAATTCGGACGTTCTTAACGATGTATCTCCGATACCTGCGCCACTGGTATAGGTAATTTATAAAAATTAAATTATTTTTTTGTTAAATATGATTTTTTAAGACTTATACAGCATATATCTTGCAATGAAGCAAGTTTGGCCTAATTATCGTATTTTTGACTCAAGATTATCAATGAATGTACCACTTGGAGCTTCTTCATCGTGATGTAGGCCCCATTTGCAGTTTAATTTCAACTATTGTTTAAATACTCAAGTTAAAATTAATACATAAATATTGAGGGGGGTATCCAAAAATAAACAATAACAACTGATCCATAAAATGACGCTAATGCTTTGCTGACCCTTGGCCTACTAGCTGTATTATTAGAAGTATGTACTTCCACAGGAATATACATATTATCGCAAAATATCACGCAGCATCGCTTTTGTTTGAAAATAAAGCTACAAAGTCAGATAGTGTATCTCATTTTGTTCTACAAAAGTTGTGAAACTATGATAGGGGAATATAATCTAGAATTTTTTCTATAAAATTAATTTATTGATATCTAATGTAATAAATGATAAATGACATGAATTTTAATAGTGTGTAGTGACTTATGCCTACATAATACAGGGTGATATAAAAAATAAGTAGCTCCAACTGTTATATACCACACAATCTTTGAGCGAACACAATATATAGGACTTTGCCGCTGTGTTTTATTTATGCGCGTCTTTTTCAAGATATAAGCAGTCAAGTCAAACGAACACACCGTTTGCCCAAAAACAGCGCAAAATGGAGCACAAATATGTGCTGCCAATAAATGATTACCACCCTGATATGTTTGTTCTATTAGATTATTTAAGAAATTACTAAGCAAACTGCAAACATTAACAATCCTATTCTAATAGTGAACATTTCTTGTGAGATATATTTTTCAGGATGGTATAAAAATATGCCGATTGAAGTAAACACAGCGTTGAGGTGGCTGAAACGTAATTTACGGGTCACAGACCATCTTATAATTCATCGAAACCTTGCCAACACTTTGACTATGAACGTCATTCGATTTTAACAAATAACGTAAGAGAAAATGGGACAGCAATAACATTCAACGCAACAAACAAAACAATGTTAAAAAGTCCTTCACTCAAGGACACAACATTTGTAACGATTATATTTTTCACGTTCAAAACTTTAATGCAGCTTAATTTTGATACTTTATCTTGTATGAAGTGGATTAAGCAACCTTATTTAAAATAAAAATGTAATACTGAAAACGTATTTCCGATTGTAATGTCCAAATATAATCTATTGGATACCACACGAGACTTAGATAAATTAGAATTCCGTAGCGGCTTGGTTCTAAAACCAACAAGAATCGAAATGAATGCTAGGGCGGATCTAGGGGTTCTGATAGCGGGACCTCATTCATGAGTCTAGCCCGAGAACAACAGGGGCAGGTAAAGATTCCTAGTTAAAGCTAACGAATCAAAGAAATTTAGTTGCTCATGGGCCAATTAAAAAGAGGGTGCTTTGTGTTTTCCAAAAATATATAGTTTTCACATTAGAAAAGAATGTATGAAAGCTTCAGAAAATATGACAAGAAAAATGGACTAACCCGAGTGCGCACATAAAATATTACAAAAAATAGCAATATTTTTGCTTTCCCAATCACTTATCTCTGCGAATTATTATAATATATATTTATATTACATAACATATGCAGAATGACCTACTTCTAAAGTCACCCAGGGACATAGAAAAAAAATTATAACGAGATAAAACTACAATAAATGCTACAAGATGACGTTAATGATAAAAGTGTTATGTTTTATCTGGCGCGAGTTGGTAATTTATGTGTTATTTTAATGTAATTACGTATTTTTCATGTGAATGTTTCCTCAAATGATAATTTCGTCACTTTTTTTATCAGCGAAAACAATTTTTTTTGTTTCGGAAAATAATTGCAATATGTAGTTTTAAAACAACAAATATTACATGGTGCAATATAAGAAGCTTCACTTATTATGGACTACCTGTACACTACCTAGTCCATAAAAGTTTTTTTGTTTGTGCACACCAAATAAGGGGTTTCAAACCGCCCTATTATAATCTATTGAATGTGGATAAGATATAACTTCAAAACATTTCGGTAGATAGGCATCCAAACAGCTAAATCATTCTCACAAGACTGTTAAAAACTAATAAGTTCGACATCGTCTGATGATTCTGCTGACGAATGATCTTAACTTAATTTAATACTGGTCGGAGCTCTAATCCGCAGAGTAGTTGTTTCCAGCAATGTCATAGTTAAAAGTTATACCCACTTGTAAGTATAATTATTATCACTCTTTAGAAACTGACTCGATAAGTTTGTAGTTTGATCATTTTCTGTGAAAATTCTCCAAAAAGGTTTTTTCATCCTCTGACAAAAATGTCTCTTTTTGTTAACATAACGTCAGTGTTCATTTTCCAAAAACATATAGCCAGCAACGCATTATGATTTTTTTATTTATTTCAATTTTTTGTAGGTATATAAAATATATAATTGTGAAAGTATTTGTACGCACTTAAAAACCCGAATCAGAAAACAGTCACTGCACACCAGTTGATTATAAGCAACAGAATATCTTTGTAGTGTTTCAGATAAGGGTCGTCACTATTAATCTGGATATCCGTGATGTCTTGCAAATATTTATTTTTAACTTCCTTTCTTATAGCAGGATGCTCACAGATATTCAATAACGCCTATTAAAAATAATAAATAGTTTATTATTAGACCTGGAATAGAGATTTCAATTTTTGTACATTAATATAGCGGGTGACTGTTTTTCAAGCCATACCATAGTGATCTCAGGTGGTGAAGAGGTTAAATATTGCAGTTGTGCAAAACTTAATGTAAATAATTTTTTTCGTATGAAGTTATGGACAAAAAATTGAAAATATTCATTATCTTTCTCAATTTTTTAACAGAAAACTAATGAAAATGTATTGTACAAAGAAATTGCAACAAACGAATTAAGTCATCCTGTTGTACTCTAGTCCACCTGGACACATATATGGGTCATCATTTGGACAGCCCCTAGGATTTAAATGAGTGTGTTTGTATGTTAAAGACAGCCATACACGGACGGATAAATCGGACGGATTGAATCAGTACAGATTTAACCGGCATATCACATATATTATGTAATCGCCTGTTGTGCTTAATTCGAGATTTATCTTAAGTAAATCTTCTGTATCTGGCTTATCACATACATATGAAACTTCTTATTGGTTTTATAGTTTGACACGTGGGAGATCAGGTCGGCCGATTTATCCGCCAGTATGTCTGGCTATTAGATTCATCCGTACCTTTAGAGCAAAGATTTGTGTGTTTGGATTGTGCCTATTCTTGGCTATTTCAATTAGACGTTTGGCCAATCCTTTTATTTTACTGGCAGCTATTCTGGACCTGGTTTTTATCGTGCAGAACATAATCGTTGATGCTGCGCTTGTGTGAACCTCTATTCTCTAAAATGATGGATATTTTGACATTGTCGGCAAGATAATTTAATAAATTAAAGACCACCATACCTCATCGTAGAGTAACGTGTTCAAAGCTTCTAATAATTTGGCTTCTTGGGTCATTTTTTCACCAAGACGTGAAGTTGTGAGCAGTGTCAGGCAGTCGCAAGCACGGGTTACAATTTCTACATCCTTCAATGAGAGTAATTTCAACTGGAATTAATTCATTGTTAATTTTTTTATTGCACAATTATTTTCGCAGTCTTACAAATATATTGAAGCCGTCGTTTTCCAAAGCAATACATTTTCCGACGCTATACATCAACGATTTTAAGGTCTCTAGATGTATTTTTGCAATGTCGGAATGTTCGTTTATCAAATTAACCAGTAGAATGGGAATAAACCCATAATCGACCAATACGTCAGCAGCTGGAGGAAGAAATTATTATTATGAAAAAAAGTTTGCCTCAAGATAATGAGTAGGCAGCACGTAATACTCGTAGAACTTAAACTGAGTTCAATAAACTGTGGATGAATCTAGAGTGCCTAACATAGGCCTCTAATCACATGCGCCAACTTTAGCAAATGCTTCAAAATAAGAAAAAATTAAGAAAGGATAAGGATAATCGATATAATATAAAAAGAATTTATGAAACTAAAAAATTTTGGTTTTTAAACTCCCGAAATCAAAATGTTTTATGGCTATTATAAACCTTTTCTGACTGCAAAATCTGCAGAAATAGTCAAAATAAATTATTTAGATTGTTAACCTAATTCCATATTTATCTAAATTCTTGATTAAAGAGATTTACGCAAAACATAGAAACCGTTTATCTCCTGTAAACACAATAGCCACATTGCAGCAACTAGAAGGATGATTCCTCTTCTAAAAACAAAGAAAAACACTGGGATTATTCCAAAGAGCTCTATGATCCTTCACATGTATGGCACAGCAATAGTCCTTCCATTTTATGGTAAAATAGTTATTTACACCATAAAGGAGGCAATAGAGTCCGAGACGGGTAAATTATACTTAACTGCTGCGTGGTGTATAATATTTTATTTGCTCTCACAGTTCTTTATGGTTCATGAAATAAAGATTAGGTTTTATTTTGACATTATTCGAAATCTTGCAAAGTCGCCTTGTTTGTTTGGATTTTGTCGTTTAAAGTTACATAACAGTTGCAATTTTGCTGGTTTTGAATTATTATTTCTAAATTAGTGATTTTCAAATAGAAAGTGCCGCAAATGCTGCTCAAAGAATGGTGCCAGACCAAAATACTGGTGTTTCTAAAATGTCATTGCTAGCATATTTCATGGGGAAGTTAAGAACTTTATCAAGCAGGTAGTTCTGTGATTCCTTATAAGATTGCACAGTTTTTGAAAATAGAACATCCTGAAAAATATACAGGCCATTCATTCCGAAGAACATCGGCAACGTTACTGGCTAATACAGTTGATGTTTTAGCAATCAAGAGACATGGTGGGTGGAAATCAGCCACAATTGCAGAATGTTCAGAATTGCAGAATGAAGTTTGCGAATGCTCTTTGAAACCTGGAAATTTTGAAGGATCATAGACTCTTAGAAATATTTTCTCATTACTTTTTTTATTTTTCAGGAGAGACCTCAGCCCTAAAAGATTGTCGCAGCTGTCTCTTCACTGGAAACTAAACGGACTATATCTATATGGATTTCATTCACCAAACGGCTAGTTGTAATTAAATCTTCTGAGACTTACTTTTCCAGAACCTGGCAATCATCTCCAACAAAGCCGCAATTTGTATTCTAACTTGCGAAACCACATCTTCGACGCAGATTTGCAGATTGTCCAGGAGATTTTGGTTCGACACAATAGCTTCCTTTCCGTCTGCCAGTCGAGCTAGGATTTGTAAGGCGTTGGCTGTTCTTTCGCGGATCGCCGGATTGTCATGCAGTGCTAAGCCGACCATTCTAGTAGAAAACGAAGCAAGTAAGAAAATACAGATTACCTTTAAACGTTTAAAGAGGGCCGATATTTTCAACATTTCTTTACAAAACATCCTTTCTACGGTGGCAACTTTTTAATTCGACTTACTTGTCTATAATTTTCAAATTCACAGCCTCGTATCCCTTTTCCGGATCGTGGCAAAGGTCACAGATGCTTTGGAGTGCGGCTATCACAACGCTATCATCTTTGTCAAGAAGTTCTCTTTTCTACAACGAATTACGAATTATTTCGAACGTTTCGAAGACCGCAAGACATGTGGATGTTTCCTTGATCCTAAAGATGCTACTTGCTACTTTTAATATCAGAAATTCCTGGCCTTATGAATCATGGTACAAACTATGAATATATAATTGTCACAGTATTCTTCAGGAGTATAAGTTGCCACTGTTACACTTTTGCATCACAAATTCTATGTGCGCTACAGGGTAAATTTACTTATATTTGTGTTTACTTACCAATTTAGGCATTGCCCGTCTTCCAAAAGCCAGAGGTCTTCGAGTGACGTCGACATTCTGAACAGGTATTGTAGGCTGTTCTGACACCAAGCGTTGAAATGGGGGCTCCAAATCGTGAACATCGGCATAGTTGAACTCTCTGGCTACATTGAAAATGATTTTAAATATCTATATTTATGTACGGTAATGGTAGTAACGTAAATTGGGAATGTATACTTTTATAATATAGAAAAATATATTCTGAAATGACAAAGTTTAGTTTGGTGCCTGGAATGGAGCGCCTCCTATTGGTTTACCCCTATGGCTTGCCCTGTGTCATGACGGTCTGTGCTAGAATTTGCAAAATAGTGATCGAGGTATATTTCGAGCCTGGCCAGGTTTTCAAGGCTTTATATTCAATAAAATAGTATAAAAAAAGTTATTTAGAAGTAAGCATATCTATTACTATTTGAAATTTGATACCGGATACATCGGATATTTTGCATTTCAAGGCTTCATATTTTATTACGTTCTCGTTAATGTTAAATTCTATTCTCTCTTAATTACCTTTTTGTACGCAACGATTTAGTACTCGGGGATTAATTTCTGGATAAGAGGTCTGCAGATACGAATTTTTGTATATAGAAAACATAACTGTAATTGTAAAATCTTCTTATAACTGTCAATGTTACATTTACTTCAAAAAAGGAAGTAGCAAACACAAAACATGACATAAAAGTCTATCTATATTTGAGAATTAGACGAGCTTCTGGTATAATAGAAGTTGGCTTTCGTAAAATTACTTGTATAAGGAGAGCTACAATTTATTTTATGATTTTCATGCTTTTTGGGAATATTTACAAAAATAACTAATGCGGGATAGTAAAAGTCTTCATTTAAGAGATTTAAGAAGTGAACTTTCAACAACACATTCTTTATTGACTATAGAACAAGCTTTAAAATTCGATTATTAATGGTTTTGTGTGACCCAGTGCTTAAATTTGATGTCTTTCACAAAACGATACTTTTGGCCATTAAGCATTTTCTTTAAGGCCTGTGCGTGATAAAATCGTCAACGAAATAAACAAAAAGGTTAATTTTTGCGCCTATATGTACCTGTATATTTAATTTTACCAGATTGGACCACCCTGTTTCTGTTAAGAAATACCTAGCAAGTTAAGTGCAAAAGTGCGAATTCATCAAAATGAACTTATGCACTAAAAGAACTTAAAATTACCTGCTAGTGCAGTTATTATCTTCATATCTTTGAGTCTTCATCATTCTTACTTCTTTTTCAGCATCAATTAAAAATCACTTGCAATGAAGATGAAATGAAGTAGGAAGTCGATAGCAAAGGAGAGCAGAGTACCTAAAAATGTATACTGTCAATAAAAACAGTAAATAGAAATAGAGAACAGAGGACTGTTAGTTATGTAGATTGTAGATTTTTTAATTAGAAATAGAAACAATCCCGGTAGCGGTTGATTAAAAAATGGAGCATGCGTGATTCGCGATACAAGCGCAAACGGCGACCGACATCGACAGCATTAAGGGGAATATTCAATATTCATTGTCAACATTCGCACGAGAAAGCTAGGAGCATCGCTGTAAACAAACTGTACACCAGCTGATTTTGACAGTATCCGACCTCGTATTAGCGTCGAGGCACCGTGCAACGTGTTTTTAAATTATACAATTCGCAGTTAATTAAATTGCACCTAATTTCATTGTTGTGTTAACTGATTTATTGACCTCAACTCTGAGAAAAATTAAAAAGCAGACGATGACTTCAGTCACAAAAGTGGTAAGCAAGGCTGTTCTGTTTTCTTTTGTTTACACCTTTTTATAGATTCGCAGGGAAATGTTTATTCAAAATTGTTTGGTTCCGTGTCGGATTGATTTTCTGTTTTGCGATGCTTAAGTACAAACTTATTTTAAAAGATAATTATTTATATTTTTAACATTAGAGGTGTAAATTTATGTCCAATAATTACAGACTTTAAATAATATAGATATGCATCTAAGCAGTATGTAGATAGATATTTTATAGAAGGTTATTTTATTATTGTATTAAATCAGATTAAATCGGTTTTACTCGAGATTTAATCACTAAAAAAATAAAATCACAATTTTTTCTACTTTAATGTAAAGATAGATGGTACCTATCTTACATTTTTAAATTGATGTCTATCAAAAAATAAAATAGGTAGGTAGGTGCCTTTTCCTTTAATATTTACTCTTCTGTTTTATAAATTTGTTCTTTACTTTTTTGTTGTTCAAGAAAACGAGGGCTTAAACGAGTATTTAAATTCATTGCAGTCCACTTTCAACAGAATTTTCTTATAATTCATAAATTTTGAAACTATAATTTTTATATGAAAAATATACACGAAGCTTTTATTCAAACCTTTATAAGGCTTGGTGTGGTATTGGTTTTTTACGTGAAAAAATGTGTTGGTAGGAAAGATATATAAACAAGATAGCTGTTAATAGACTGCAAATATAAACACAGAGTGTATATATTGGCCTTAATAATTATTACTGTTGAGAACACGCCTGTTCTGTACCTTCTCACAGCTCTCAATGATGTTGTAGAATGTATCCAAATGTATCATTAAAGTACCTATTATAGTTGTAGCATTGTTTAAATACCCTATATATAAATATAATAATATTTAAATAATGGTTGTACGGGTTGTACCATTGGAATTAAATGTACCATGTCCCTACCTAAATAGGTACCAAACTGCAATATTTCTAATAAATAATAAACATAAATAAATATTGTTTGGTAGCTTAATGAACAGCAGACACAAAAACGACGGCATATTTATGTTATGTAGTTCTTTAATTAAAAAGTAAAATAACTAAACATATGTTATATGTATTTTATAAATAAGTTCAATGAATTTACCCTTGAAAAGTTCACACAAATCAAGCAATTGTAATAAGAAAGACGACAGACCAAAGATAATAAGTTTTGTCTGAAAAAATATACTGGGTGTCTCCAAGAAACATCTTTTAAAGTAACATTTGAAACCCAAGTATTTTTTTGTTTCAGGTGAAGAGCGTTGGGCCTAAACTAGTGCCATTCTTCAAGACAGTTGCGATATATTTCGTTATTTTTATTCCCCACGACAAACCCTCGATATTTAGCACTGTTTTGAAATGTTTACCGATAGTCAGTTTAATGCTGTTTGTTGTACTTCATGGAATGAGTCTAGGGGATGAGTAAGTATAAACAAAATTTCTGATATACACCTTGAGAAAATTAGAGAGGTGAAGTATGTTTGCTTCCTCCTACTTTTGAGTGAAAAAACTAGTTGAACACGAAAATAAAATGTTAATTTTGGTATGTACTTCATTTATGATGTTATGGTGCTCTTCGAACTTCGCAATATTCCGATATGGGGTCGTCTGTAATCCCTTGTCTATGGTTACGCGCTTTTCACGGGATTTGTACCGAGTGAAATTTCTGAAAGGTTTCTTGAATGAATTTGAAAACAGGTGAATGATTTTTCTTGACTTTCCTTCGTGCCAAAATTATTTGAAATATTTCTTCAGGTCAGACTCGATATTGGCAATCCTAGATCTTCCCAATTAAAGTTTCGAATCAATGAGCGTCATTCTCAAAAAATCTCAGCTCTCAAAAGATTTTCGGAATGTTGTACTCCATTTTAAAAAATGCCATCATACAATGTCATTTCTTCTTATTAAATTCGAATAGGTATAAGTAAATAGTCTGCAAAAATTCCTTCAGTTGCTTCGCACTGGAATATATTCCTCGGAATATTGAAACCGAATGTACATATAATATTTTCTAACGTTGACGTAGACATGCGACTTTTGTCCTCGGGGGCAAGCATGCAAAAAACATTTCATTATCGTTTGGTTTTTATTTTCGCATGGATTATTCCTTTGAAAACATTTGTGTGTTAAAATTGTTTGTACACCTGAACTGGCTTTAATCGAAATTTTTACCAGTTTACCAATACGGTTTAATACACCTGCAATTTGTAAAATGTTTCGTGTAATTCACTTGCAATGCGAAATAAGATAACCGGTCGCTAGACATCATGCAAATGCGCAATATAGAACAATAAATATTAACGTATTTTAATTATTGAAAGCACTTATCTCTATTGAGATTTTATTGTTAGTATTGAAATCGTTGTTTGTCATCTGCTGCGATATCAGTTAACATGCAACGCAATTTTGCAAACAAACGGATCGATTTGAATAAATTGTAAACAGACGTAATTGCTCTGAAAACTCTAAACAACAAGAAAAGTTGGAATTATTAACATGTTTAGCTATTTGTATCTGACGGCCTTGGTGACTATTCTATAATGAATCGAAATATCAAGTCGTTACTACAGTGAGAAACAGTTACATGAGATAAGGTCGCATTTAAAATAATTGCTAGATCTCTTAATGATTCCATTGCACCTAGTAAACAGTTACAAAAAGAAATGGTGCAATAAGAAATTAAATGAATGATCAAAATGGCGTAATATCCTCAATAAATTATATTGAAAAGCTTTTAGGACGCCATTTTACAACTTTATTTCAGCAAATAATTGCCATTAATAGGTATGTCTCCTACACGAGAAATCCAAATTTTTTCTTCAAGTTTTATTTATTATTTTTTTTACTTTAAACAGCAAAACGTATATCATGTGTATATTTTTCACAATAAACTCAATTTTGCGACATATTCTGATCACTTAAAGGTGCGTTTACACGGACAACTTACCGTCGCTATCGTCATAGGCAATACATTTTATATTTACTTGTTTACACTTCCTTCACAAATCGCCATATTTGTCTCTTTTTAAAATGGCGTCAAGTAGGTTGCAGTGCTGATTGGAGTTCGATAATCATCTTCGTCAACAATTTCCTGTAATAGGCTTTGTCCCCCAAAACTTTTATTTTCTGCTTTATTATTCGCAAGGGCTAGTTGTTCTTGAAGTGTTAAAATTTTCGGTATATGGTTACTTTTCCACATAAAAACCATTGTTATTTGCAATATCGATTACCTTAAATCCTTAAAAAAGGAAAGATTCTTATCATAGATATCGCAAAATGATGTTGCGTTTAGCACAAACCTGATGTCTCATACTATACGTTAAGATTCGTTCTGGATGCCTTGCATTCATCATTTATCCCAGATGATCTCTTTCGATGATTAACTGTTCATATGTTCGCATTTCACTCACGTCAGATGATTCACCAACGAATCTCATCCAGTGTAAACGCGCCAAAATATTTCACCCGTTTTTGGAAGCATATCATAAATTATGTAATATAAATAAAAATATACTTTGCGTGTATTGAAACAGCTTTATCTAAAAGAATCAAAAGATCGCGTGGCATTTGGCAATATAGTTTCCTGTTCCTGAAATAAATGGGAACTGGAAAACACTGTTTAACATAACTTGGTCAATAAACATAAGCTGCGTTAAGTAAACGACCAAAGTCGTTAAGGTCTGGTACATTTAACAACACCACCCGGCTCTTTTAAATCTGGTAGTGCTTACCGAATTGGGTTGTAAAAATGCCCGATAATCTCAAGATTTTGGTATTCAAACCTCAATTTTTTTCTACCCAATACTGTATGCATCAAATTTAAATTACTCCTCTTCCCCGTTATTTCTATCGTGGTTTGTTTCTATATGACCTTTTTTAAGACATTACCAATTAAAAAGTTAGTTGACTCCAGAATTTAATTATGTTCGCTAAAATACATGCATAATTTTTTAAATGATGATTTATTCTAAGCTCGAAAATCAGAGCTGCTCACTGGGGCAGTCCGAATAATGAGAGATATGTTGAGATTCTCAAACTTGGAACGAATATGTCAATTAGAAGAATTTGCATGTATTTAAGCAAGTTAACTGAAAGTAATTGATTACAACTGGAATCAGTTAAACTGTAATTGGAGAATGAAGGTCATGTCGAGATAATGCAAAATGGAAATTGAAGAAGTTCTTTATGCTAACGGATACAGAATCGGGTATAAAAAAGTAGATGTATATGACATATCAAACTGGTTTTTTCGTCCAAAAACACAACTAGATTCAAAAAGGTTTTCCGAACCTTTTGATATATAGACCTGTGTCATTCATTCTGCCTGTCGCAATCTTGAATTCCACGATTTTCATAAAAAATCTAAACATTAAACAAATGTTTAAAAAATAATAAATAGGTAACCGATTTCGATAAAGCAGGTATTTTATATGTCACGTCCATAATTGCCTGTCTCACTAATTCTGTTTAAAAAACTTTCCGGGGAAACGAGTCATTGCCATTAGTTTAAAACGTAGAGCACGTGCTTTGTAATGAACGATATCGTTTCCAAAGATCAATGTTAACAATATAAATGCCCATTTCTGCCGCTGCAAAATCAACTACCTACATAATAATCTTTGCCTGTTGCATGTTTGTAAATGTAATTTAATGTTTCGGACTTTGTATAATAATAAAGTATTTGACGATAAAAATCAATGTAATCAACATTTTAACGGGTTTGTTTTTATAAAAAAAATATTCGGTATGCCTCGCTTTTATAACAAAACCACTTAACGTGCATGTTATTATATAAGTATTCATTTTAAACAATTCAAATTGAAAAATTTAGATAGTAGTTATACATTTATAACAAAAAATATACCTATGTATAAATATAACACAACGACGTATCAAAATCAAATCAATCAAAATCAAAATAAAGGATGTACATTCAGTTTAAGAGTATTTGCCGTTATGGCACCCCCCGACGATAGGGGTCGTTTATATAGTTATAGATACTAATACAAAAAGTAATTTGCACAATTACTAGCATCAATGTAAAATTATATCCATTTTTCCATTATTATTCTATATTCTATTATATGAAAATTATGATAAAAAGTCGTTAAAAAATATATTTATTTAAAATTGTGCTTCAATATTTCCATTCGATAAAAAAATTAGGACACACTATATTTTTTTAATTTTAGCACTGTATCTCAAGAAAGAGGAGTTTGAGAGCAAAAGTTTAAACAACAAAATGCTAAAAGGCATGCTTCTTAATTTTTGACACATTATTGTGTTACACCCTGTTTATGTTGCTTGTCTTAGGAAAATACAGAATGTGTTCATTTCCTTAATTTATATAAATATATACCAAAGATTCCACGACAAATGGAAGAAAAATTTTATAGGAAAATATTTTTCCTGCTTTTTTTAGAAACAATTAGTGATATATTTTATGTGGTGGATCATTAACTAATCGGTAATTTCATTGTACACCTGTTGTAACTCGCCTACCATACGCCTCCTAACTACAGAAATATGACAAACTTGTACCCATTTTAAAGTGTTTGCGACTACCCCAATTTCTTGTTTCAGATACAAATATTCGAGAAGAATATTAACTGGATTGTTATTTTGTTGTATTGGTGATGCCTTTTTAATATGGCATCATTATTTTGATATAGGAATGTTAGCATTCATTGTAGGCCACATATATTATATTTCGGCATTTGGATTCAAACCCCTTAATTTACCTCTGGGAATATTCCTCTATTTCCTTGGGACAATCGGTAAGATATTTTTACCTGTAAGTGTCAACATTAGTAGATATTATTTGTTTTCATATGAAATCTACAAATGTCTACATATTCTACATATCATTATGTTTTCATAAATTTTCATTTAATTAAGTACTTTGCCACAATAAAAAGAAAAAGAAATGAAATTATATCCAAAAGGATCACGAGTTATTTTATATGCTTATTTCTGAATAACTAGAAATATTTTACAATTTTTTTTTTAGAGAAATCGTCAAATATAACCGCGTACATACAATTGTGTTAGATATTTCTGGTTAGACAAAAATAAGTAACTGATCTTTTTGTACCAGGGGTTTTAATTTCGTTTTATTAAAAAAAAAACTAGTAAAAATGCCACAAATATTATTTCCTTACAATCTGCTTAAAATTTCTTGTGCATTCTTTTTTAAATTTTTTCTCGTATGTGCTTACAGTTTAATTTCTTTTTAGAATTAACACATTTATCAGCAATCTTAAAAGATATAGAAGAAATATACGGGTGTGGCGTGTATAATCTATAAAAATTAAACTACAGCTTCTTGTTGATATTTGTAATAGAAAACTCTTACACGAAAAAGTTCTATATTCGCGTTTTTTTTGTAAATTCATTTATTCAACAAAAATGAAGGCCGACCCTGTGTTATTTATTAAAAACTTTGGAAATGTTTTGATGTGACCCGAGATGCAACCTTATAATTTAAATCGGTATAATCTAATACTAGTAATGCTAAAAGATGGTTAGGTTACATTGTCAAAAAATTTGTGCAGTCCACTGATTTTGTATTTGTGTCGAATTCAATTATTCACATAATTATTAAATATTAAACATCATCCATCGACCCATCAGTGTTAAAAAGAGAAAAATTCTAGACCAAAGTTTTTACTTTGTAATTCCACGATAGTGACAGTGTAATTTTTATAAAGAAGTGAAAAATAAGAATAGCGTGCCGATTACATTAAAAAGGAGATTCTTATTTCTTACTTTGCTTAATTTTTTAGTTTGTGCACAAACTAGTTTTACAATGAACCGAGAAAACAATGTATTTACTATTTCCGAACGTGTCGATATGGTGTTAGTGTATGGTGCAGCCGGAGAAAATGCGCTCGCGGCGATTAGATTGTACCGGGAACGATGGCCACAACGTCACCCCAAATGTGCAAATACAATCCTACAGTGCGTTCAGCAGCTGCGAGATACGGGAAGTGTTAATCCTCGAGGAGAAGGACATGGTCAGCAAGTGAACTTTAATGTTGAAGATGCAGTGTTGGAAAATCTTGTCGAAGACCCCACAATTAGTACTCGACGACTTGCACTAATTCTGTACCTCATCTCGTACTGTACAACAACAGTGCATTTAAGAAAGTAATTACTATTAATTATTATAATAAGAAAATAAGTATCAGTTTTTTAAATATCTATTTTTCTGTTTGTACTTTTGCATTGAAAAATTCCCCAAAAATTGAGAAGTATCTTTCTATATCTTTCAACGACGATTTGTTTACGCGGCTGGTCTACAGCACGTAACTCATCACACAGCATACGGATAGGACCGTTACAGAGAAAATATTTTGATTCATAATTGAACTTTAATTTACGAAAAAAAGCAAAAAAATAGAACTTTTGTGTATAAGACTTTTCTATTACAAATATCGTTAGGAAGCTCTAGTTTTCATAATTACAATTTCAGTGCCTACTTTGCTTGAATGATAATAATACCTACTGATTAAGTTATTTTGCCGAGATATATAAAAAATATATGAAAAACGTGTAATGATGTTAATTATATGAAAATTTCAATTATACTATGGTTATACTCCACTGGTTTTCATTTATAAATAATAAAGTTTATGTGGCAACTCTGACGATTCGCAAAAATGAAGGTGATCATATTTTGATAATGAAGCTTCAGAAGGACCTGTACCTTTATTTAGGGAATGATTCGTAAGCCCACACAGAGAACATTCATAAATGAAAAACTTAGATGAAATTTGTGAAATGGTAAATTAAAATATTGGTGAACAACTCTGAGATCTCAAAAACTGTTATATATTTTTTATTAATAATTGATTGATAGATACAAACAGGTGTCTTTTTAATTTTAAAATATTTCTGTCATTTTAAATTCATTAATCTTTTACATATCTCTAATAGTATTTTTACATTTTTAGGTACTCTATATCTGTTGCCCGATTTACATGGGGTTTTTGTTATCGGTGTGCCAATATACGTTCTTGTCATTACCACTATGCTCTGGAGAGCCATAGCTCGAGTTCAGTTCTTTGAGGTACGTTCGATAACAAAATTAAGTCACATATATTATCGACTTACTTTCAGGACCTGTGGACCTGGAGTAAATTATGCACGTGCGCTGGTGGTTTTCTTTTCAGTCTCTCTGATTTGATCATCGGCATCGATAGGTTCAAGTTTAATATAGATTATGCTCAGGTAAAGCCTAGTTTAAAAAATCTTAGTGTTATTTGACATCACGTTTAATTTAACAGGTTCTCATAATGTCCACCTATTATGCAGCTCAAGTCGGCATAGCTTTAAGCGTTGTGGACGCTAGGACAGCGTTAGAAACAGAAAGAAATAAAATGAAGTAATAAGTATTAGACGAGTAGACAAATTTGTAGCTCAATTGAAGCCAAAATTGTATTTTTTCCGTAGTTACATTAATAACTACAAGTTAGAGAAAGGGGTTTTGTAGAATTGTTAAAATGCCTATGATGATGACTTCAACACAGAATTCACACTTAAATGAATTTTATCATAGGTTATATCAAATAAGTTACTGTCATTACTGAAAATGTTAATTTTTCTATACATAATATAAATGGGACCTAATATATTTTCACATATTTTGAAGTACCTACTTATATCACAACTGCAAATATTACCGAGTATTTTTTATAGTAATGTTTTTATAGTAGTCACTTCCACATAATCTAAAACATGTTATGCATTATGAAGAATAGAAATATCACGTCATTTCCTTTGTTGCATCAAAAGCGTGCTAAATATTCAGTAATTTTGTTAATATTGAAATGCTATTCCTGACAATTGCTTTAGAATCACTTTCAGGTGATACTCGTAGTTAACATTAATTGTATTCAAATTTGTAGTTTTTGTCTTCCCAGAACATGCCACTTTGTGAAACAATAATAAGCGTTATTTAAACTTGTACATATTTTTAAATAACTATCTTGCCAAGCACTTGCAACTATGAAAATGGATAAATCTATTTAAGATAGCAGAAAAGTAGATGTGTTCTAATCTAGAGTGACCCATTATTCTGCAAGTAGTTAGTTCTTGCATTTCTAGAACTAGAGTACCCCACCCACCGTGTGATCGAAAATATAATCAGTTAGATTCCAATTTTGTCAATTTAATGCAGTTCTAATATTTCTTAAGAATTTAGAAATAAATTGACTATTATTTAACCTTGTGTCGTCTTAACTTCAGAAAATAGACAATAGTTCTCAAATACATATTGTAGAGAAGTGGACACAGTATGTTTTTAGAGACATAAATATCAAGTCATTATCCCACTTCTGATTACAAATTAATTTGTTAAATACAGCTACAATAGATTTACTTGAATCTATTGAAAATCATTCCATTGATTATTTGTTAGCAACAAATCTAAATGCTCACTTTAAAAAAAATTGTCTTCCTTATTTATTATAATTTATAACTAGTGAATAGTCGGAACAGCATGTTGTTTGTCAAGAATAGGAACAAAAATTATCAGTATACAAGAAGAAGGGAAATGTCCCGTAATTTTCACGTTTGTTTCTCTTCTTGACAGGTCGTATCGTTGCAAATAGTAAAATTATCATGTAGACTGCACTATATTTATCTGTGATTTTATTATATAGTCGTAAAAGAGGAGATTAGAAGTAAATGTTGAATAAATGTTAATTAGGATCTTTGTTTTTCTGTCAATCTGCCTTTGCGGTATACTCGAGGGTCTACCACTCTCCATAAATTATGCCGAAAACTCTCAGAATCCTGTCCAGAAAATTTTCCTTTTAAATGCATTGAAGCAATTGAAATGAAAATGTTCCACCTAAAATGTGTTAAGTGTCCAAGTGCATTATATAGAAGTTTGAAGAATAGATGGAGAACAGTCCGCTTGAATTTTTGAATTGTTTCTTTCATATGAGCAGATTGTTTCTTTCATATGAGCAGACGTGACAACATGCTTTAAGCTGGAGGAAAAAAATAGCCTGCTATCTCTTTCTTTCCTTGCTACAAATAGCTGTTTTCTGAGCCAAGTTTTTTCAACGATACCCTCTACCAACTTCTTGGTGTAATATTTCATTTACAGCAAAACTGATTTTCTCGAATAAACTGGAGCTTAGATATATCTAGACTACTGAACTTGAATAAAATCTGACTCAGGAGAGTGATGTGACTCATAACGGGACACTGTCACTTTAGGAAACATCTACATAAGCTAAAGCTTGTAGACAGTCCAGACTGCCGAGGATGTGAATCGGCGGATGAAACTTCTCTGCATATCCTGGGCTAGTGCCCGGAATTTGCACAGTAGAATAACGCTATTTGGAACCCAAGGAACTGAGAGAAGTGTCAGCAAGGAAGCTTTCGGACTGTTAAAAGGACAAAACTACTTGCTGAATAGGACTAGTAGTGGGATGCGCAATAGGCCGCGGTGCCGTGGGACTTATCAGGACCAACCACTAGGAAAGGAAGAAGGAAGGTATGCTTGTAGTACTTTTCTTGGTAGTGGGGTCATCCCCTCGGATAAACATATTAAAACTCGAATTGACTTTTTATTCCATGTTTATTCCAAACTGATATAAAAATACTATACAGATCTAACTTAAAATATCCCACTACGTTCTCACTAGTCACCGTAATCATCTACATATAAATATTTGATCAAATCAAGTATATTTCAACAATAAACCTTTAAAAAATACGTTTTGTTCCCTTTTCCCCCTTCCTCCAACATAGTTACGAAATCTATAATACATCTATTCTCAAATAAGTTAAGTTTTGACCAGATAAAAATGACATGTTACAGAAAACAAGTAACTTTAAATAACCTGCCTAAAAATATATTTATTAAACAATACTTTGTAAAATGTGACCTGCAGAAGTCACGTGGACCACATGTAAAAATAAGTGCTCTGCCAAAACGGCAGGTACTGTGCTAGGGGCTTGCAAATCAAACCAGCCAATGGAACGTGCTTACTGAGAGCCTCTAAAAGAGCATTTATTTTATCTCGACTTTGTTTCTCATAAAACGGTGATCGAATGATGTACAACACCAGGAGTAGCTGTCTTTTAGACAACTGCAAGCGCTGTTGTGGAGTTAGGGAATTTAGTGGTATTGCTCTACAAGACCTATACAGATGCAAACTGAAATATAAAGAGAATAAAAACTAATTTCACCTGAACTAGATTTATGTGCAAACTGCATTTATAAATCACTACTTTAGACTGGAGATTTTATTCTCCACACCTGTACATCGATCATACAACAATATTAATAGAAATATGTTTAATCTATTTTTAGTTCTATGATAAATCACAAATTTCAAAAACGGAATTGTTTGTTGATTGCTTACCTTGCCAAATCCATAGTTAAAGCAATAAGCCAAGGCTTCCAAGTTTTGGTACCAAAACATGCCTGAGAAGCTAAGTGTATCATTGGTTTAGTTACATAAATTGTTTCAGCTATTAATTTTCTGCCACTAAGAACGTCTTCAATTAATTCGTTGTTCTTGCAGGAAACATTTTGTGATTTTGGCACTGGTTTCCACGTTCTTAAAGCGAGAGGAGGAGATGCTTCAATTTTTCTTACTACACGTCCTGAACTTTTTAAAATAAAAGAAGATGTATCAAACTGATTCTGAGCCATTTCTCCAATCGTGGATAAATTTGTAGCAGATTTTATATTTTTTCTGTCTAGTACTGGTATAGGAGGATGTTGTATGACAGTTTCCTTGTATCGGTATATAAGCATCAGTCGGGTTATGCATCTAAAACAAGGTTTAAGTTAAATTATGTGCTGCACATCATTTGCAAATATAATTACTTAAATACTTGTATACAAACTATTATTATCCATTTTCCTGTCACACCCCAGAGTTTCTTTGCTGATAATTCACAAAATACTTCAGAGTATTCGATTATAGTAAGCCACAATTTTAATTTTTCTGCGGAATTGGTAGAATGCATTTGGCAATAATTTTTCTTTATTATAATATCGTTAAACATGACCAATAGGTTTGATAAACAGTAAACCAATTCTGAGACAACATGGGAGTTATTTATCCTTCCTAAAAATATATACTGGAGATATTATAAATATTAAGAATTCAACCACCTGCTATAAAGTAGGAAATCCATTTCGCTGATGTTTCCCAATCTCCCAAAGATTGGGGATTTTTTCTAACCCAATTTTTGTATGCATTATAGATTTCTGGCAGCGTTAAGAGTATTGACGACATTTATATTTTTGAAGAATAAAACACTAAACACTAAAAAAAATATTCATAAATAATCAATCCACCAGTCTCCTGTCATTTCATTCAAAGGTCGATTAATTGAATGACGATTACATTTCGATTTCGATTTACGTGTATTCTTGCACCAAGTGAGCACTGTATAGAACTTGTTCAATTTACATTTCGATTCAAGTGCCTACCTACTTTGCCAGTTGAATGTGTTCGATTTGGACATCAATTTGCACCGAATTAGGCAAGAGTGCCGTCCGATAATTTATTTTCATCATTAGGTAGTACATCTGAAGAAGAGAAATTTTCTAATGATAATCATAGAGAACAAATAAAGTAAAATATTTTATAGTACATCGATATCTTGCAGATGTGGTAACTATTAACAGGAACAGGTATTAACAGGTAATTGCAACTCAGTGTTACTCTGGTCTGAAGTGATATTAGTTGCTATTGCCTAGGTGTCAAGTAATATAGGACTGTTCCATTTACTAAGATCATAATTATTCTTAAACTATTTCAGTGCATTCTTCCCCAGTACCAAGAAATGGATAACCTTCAGCTGTTTTTATTTTGTTTGGGAGAGTGACTACTTCTTAACTACCCACGGGAAAAGAGGGATAACTTTATTCAAAGCCAGAATCACATTTATTTTACTAACTAAAGGATTTTTTAGTAACTGACATAATGGCATCTACTCTTGATTTCTTCAATTTGCCCTAATTTTACTCGAGAGTAATTAACGAATAGTTAGTTCACTTGATAAATAATATAAGGGTAATATGATCCGCGGATTACTCGTATTAGTTAACCGGAAAACAGCTCCGGCAAGCCGCAAGTGAAACGTCATTTATGTACTTTTGGTAGACGTGTTAGGTTAGAAAATAAAGTTGGGTGATTGCTGTTTAATTCCATTATTTAAGAACTAATATATTTCCCCTGGAGAAAAACAGAAATACTCTTCATCAGTATTGTAAGTTCTAGTTGCATTTAAGTTTATATCAAAAAATTAGCCGATGCCGTTTTATTACTAGGTTGTTACTCGGTCTAACATTGGACATCATTATATTATGGTACTGATAAAATATATATTTTAAGACAAGTTTCGTTTGCTTCGAAGATGTCTTGTTCAGCAATATATATCCTTGATGTGAAAGGTAAAGTCTTGATATCTCGTAACTATCGTGGAGATATAGACTTGGGTGTGATTGAAAAATTCATGCCTCTCTTGATGGAAAAAGAAGAAGAAGGATTGCTGACACCTATTTTGCAAACAACTGATTGCACATTTGCATATATAAAAACTAACAATTTATATATTGTAAGTACAACAAAAAAAAATGCCAACATTGCATTAGTGTTTGTATTTCTACACAAAATTGTGCAGGTTATGACAGAGTACTTCAAGGAGTTAGAAGAAGAAAGTATAAGAGATAATTTTGTGGTAATATATGAGTTACTAGATGAGTTGTTAGATTTCGGTTATCCGCAAACTACAGATAGTAAAATTCTACAGGAATACATTACACAGGAGGGACATAAGTTGGAAATTCAGCCGCGTATACCGGTGGCAGTTACCAATGCAGTATCTTGGCGTTCTGAAGGAATAAAATATAGGAAGAATGAGGTATTTTTAGATGTTATCGAGTCTGTTAATCTTTTAGCTAATGCAAACGGAAATGTATTAAGAAGCGAGATAGTGGGGGCAATAAAAATGAGAGTCTATTTATCTGGAATGCCGGAACTAAGATTGGGCTTAAACGACAAAGTATTATTTGAAAGTACTGGCAGAGGCAAGTCAAAATCTGTTGAGCTCGAAGACGTGAAATTTCATCAGTGCGTAAGGCTGTCTAGGTTTGAGATAGACAGAACCATATCTTTCATTCCCCCAGATGGCGAATTTGAATTAATGTCATATAGATTAAATACCCACGTTAAACCCTTAATTTGGATTGAATCGGTAATTGAGAGACATGCCCACAGTAGGGTAGAGTACATGATTAAAGCAAAATCGCAGTTCAAGAGGCGATCAACCGCTAATAATGTGGAAATTGTAATTCCGGTGCCCCACGATGCTGATTCTCCCAAATTTAAGACGACGATAGGCAGCGTTAAATATGCTCCCGAGCAGAATGCAATTACCTGGACCATAAAATCATTCCCCGGTGGTAAAGAATACCTTATGAGGGCTCACTTTGGGCTACCAAGTGTAGAATGTGAAGACACTGAGGGTAAACCGCCAATTCAAGTTAAATTTGAAATTCCATACTTTACCACATCCGGTATCCAAGTGAGGTACTTAAAAATCATCGAGAAGAGTGGCTATCAAGCTTTACCTTGGGTTCGTTATATCACCCAAAATGGTGACTATCAGCTTCGTACCAATTAGTTATTAAATAAAACTTCAATATATATTTTTCTTGTATTGCACTGTAACTTTTTAATCAAGCAATTTATGTAACTGATAGAAATCATATTATACTATTTCTAATATTTTAATAAAGCTATTTATTTCTTCCTAAATGCAGTGATTACATTAATGATTGAAATCTTCTAATTATCACTTATGTTGGTTTATGCTTTGTAGTTATGAACAGACAAATATAACGAACTGGTATTAACATTCACAAGTCATAATTATTATGAGGATATGGTTCCTAATTTGATTACAATTTGAAATACCTTAAAACTAATATTTTTAAAATGGTCTCTTTTTTGTCTGAAGAAATTATGATGAGTATATGGCATAGTATGTACAGATAAAAATCAGGAATATTTTTTAATGTACGTATACAGGATGTTCAATTATTAATCGATCAAATGTTACCAATACCAATAGATTCTATGACGGAGGGTATTCTGATAAAAGTGTAGCTATTTTAATTTTCTGAGTATTCTTCAGAAATAAAAACGCACTTTTCTCCTTCAAGTGCAAGTTTGATGTACTGTAAATTAGTAAATTGCAGTCTTTGATGTTTCGTGATGCAGAAACCTAAAAATTTCAATAATGCAATGTAGATAAAGTAAAAAAAAATCCATGAAAAATATGCAATCCCTTAGGCAAGTTCAATATTGACATCTAAATGGTCTAATATCTGTCGTTTTATTCATCTTTTACAATTAGAAAAGAACAAAATACTTCTGGGGGGGCTTTCGTTTTGGCAAAAATAGTACCTATTAGCAACTAATATCAGTTCAGAGTAACTCTAGGTTCCTATTAGCTACTAATAGCTTCTATTTTTGTCAAATCGAAAGGCCCTCTGGAGGGTCTAGATGTAAATACCGAAGCGTTGTCAAGTGTCAAGGGGTAATCATATAATTGAGGTTATGTCAATGTCTATATTTGTTTAGAAATTTATGAATTTGTTTAAATATGAATCGCGTTAAATATACTACCCCCGTGTTGCTGGATAGTGAATCCACTATAGTTGTGGAAAATAATATTAGATTATATGACGGTGATCAAAAAGTATGTATTGTATATTTGAACTTAACTGTTTACAGGAATTAGTTGGATTTCAGACTTCATTCGAAGGGGGTGAATTAATTATTACGACACATAGGATATTATGGGGTAGACCAGGAGCGATAGCTAGGGGACAAACATGTTTGTCTATTAATCTTGATCTAGTAGTATTTGTGGAAGAAGAATCGCCTAGCGCTTTTAGCTTTAGTAGATCACGAAAGGTGATATTACATTTGTCAGAAACTCAAGGTAAGTTAAAATTATAATATATCTCTGGTTGTCAGAGACATCACATAATGAAATTTATATTTTAGAAATAGTAGAAGGCCCTCAATCTAGCAGTTATTATAATTTTATTAAATTATCATTTCGAGAAGGTTACGCAAACAATGTTGTTGGAATTTTAAATGATCTTTTACAAAAAAAACTTTGGGAGCCTTTGACTCCAGAAATGCCTACAGCATTACCTCAACTGCCTTCTATTAAACTGCGCACCGGTATTGTTGGTATTGAAAGGAGTTTACAAGAAAAACAGAAGGCGACTGATGAGAGTATAACAGTAGCATTCCAGGATCTTAGTAAACTTATGACCATGGCAAAGGATATGGTGAGGCTGTCTCGGACTATATCTACAAAAATCAAAGTATGGTTATTTAATTCCAAGTGCAAGTTATATCGTTAATTATATGAACATGCAAATTTTAGGAAAAGCAAGGAGATATAACCGAGGATGAAACCGTAAGGTTCAAATCTTACTTAATGAGTCTAGGTATTGACGATCCAGTGACAAGGGATTCTTACAAATCGGATAATCAGTATTATAGAAGTCTAGCGAAGCAAATTTCTGATTTCCTCCTAAGCCACGTGGAAGAAATGGGTGGAATGATGGCGCTGACTGACGTTTTTTGTCGTGTAAATAGAGCTAGAAGTTTGGAGTTGTTATCGCCTGAAGATATACTCAATGCGTGTCGAGTTATGGAGTCTTTGGGTCTACCTCTGAAACTTTATGAATTTAGTTCGGGTGTTAAGGTGCTGGAGTTAAGTACTTTAGACAACGAAAGTGTAGCGGAATCCACAGCTATTTTGGTATGTAATTTATATCAAGTTTTCTCATCTCCAGTCTACATTTTCCTGCTCTTAAAATATCTGATAATATAAATTCTGTTGTAAAAGTACATTTGTACTTACTTCTGAACCCAGGAAAGAGTTAGATATGGAATAAATTATTTACTTTTTTGAACGAATGGTTACTTGGGAATTTTCATTTTTAGATTGAAGATCAGAATTCATTGTCTGCTGAAGAATTATCGCAACAACTTGGCATTTCTGTTACACTTGCTAAAGAAAGGTTGTTAACGGCTGAAAAATATGGAAAGTGTTGCCGGGATGATTCTATAGAAGGCCTTAGGTTTTACCCCAATTTATTTTTAACCAAAGAGGAATAATAAAATTATAATTTGTGAGATGCTGCTGTTGAGCTGTCTTATTAAAATTTTGCGGACTGGATAATAGATTCATACTTTTATATGTAAATTATCATGTAAGTAGTAATTTATTTATTGAAGCTGAGTTTTTTAATTTCCAATTCATTGGTGCTAGAACACTTGAACCGTTGCTAGAAGGACTTATTTGAAAAATAAATTTTTCTAACACAGGTTATAAATTTTAATTTTATATTTGTTTTTATTACTCGCAACCTGCTGCGTTTAATTTGCAACGTGATATTTCACCTCTAACATTTCCAAATGTAAATATTTATTGCTTAAAATTTTGTCAATATGATAATAGTACTTATTAATAATATTGTAAAATGATTGTCAACACTAAGTTGGCCTTTTCGTTTGGAAAATCTTAATAAATTAATAATATTGATAAATAATATGAATATTTTTAGATCAAATTATCACCTTAAGTTTAGTATAGTAATGTAAACAAAAAATAGTCGCTTTGAATAAATCAAAAGTTAAATTCTTGTAATTTTCCATATTTACGAAAAATTTGGGATCGGGAGCATTAATTTATTTAGCAAGTTATTTAAAGAAGTGCTTTCAGACGATGTTTATAAAGTTAATTGCATAGTAATAAAAACAATTTCTTAAAATTGTTTTTATATAAAATGTTATTTGAGCATAGCACATTGATAAAAATATTGAACTTCAAATTGAAAAAATATCCTATCAAGCTAATTAGAAAAATATTCTGTCTAATATTCATATCAAACAAACTGGGTCGCATGTCTAATCACCAGACACAGAATCAAATTCTTTAATTGTAATTCTGAAACTGATTTTTCTAATCTCAACCAAAACATTGCCTACTTCTGGTCAATGATAATATTGTAAAAAATTCGCGCAATGTCATCTTAGATTTAAATAGATTCGTTTAACTAATGTTATTGTGGCAAACAACTACTCTCATCAGTCTGCCATAGGTGAGAGAATGAATAATGATCAATTTAGCCATTTGGACCAACATGATTTGAGTATGGGTAAGATATAACCTATTAAGTAAGGCGTAGATTTGTTTACTTCTATCACATCGAATCCTTAACATCGGGAAACTTGGTGATAAGTCACATAAGTTTGTTATCATTTCAAATAAATTTGATATGTATTTTTGTATTTATTTACAGCAAAGTTGAACATGTTCTTATATCATGATTAAAGTGTTATTGAATTTGCAGTTGAAACTAATTGTTAATCATAATAATTATTGACCTTAAAAATGAATTTAAAATATCGTTATTATATTTTGGATTATGAGTACTGTTTCAATTAAATTAAAAACCTCATATTATTTTGAACTCATTAATGGTCACTAATTTCGGCAGATCTATTTATAAGATCATTCATTTCCTGTTGAAGGGAATAAAATTAATTTGAAATCTTACACGTTTACTAATTGAACTTCAATGAATTGATCAAGGAATTGAAAGTAATAGAACTGGTTCTAGTTTTTAGTGATCTAAATATTGGTAGTTTAAGACTTTTTGTGATAATTTTTATTACGCCAAAAATTGATGTATGTAAAACAGACAATTATCTTTACGGGCCAAAATTGTTATCAAAAAAACTTTATCGGGATGTACGATTATGTTTCTCTTGTGTTTTTTTTACACAATATTTGGATTTCTTATACAACTAGGATAAGTTCAAAGATCAATATAAAAAATAGTTTTTATCAGCTTTAGATTTTACAAATCATGACATATTGAATAAAAATAATAGCTGTTGTTGTTAATCGGGTTATTATTATTATTTTTTTTTTGTAGGAGGATAAATATTTATAGTGTTTCATAACATTTATTTTTACTTTTGATGGCTTATTGTTATCCATAAATGTTAAGAATAGGTGATAAAGCAGTACTTGTTTACAGAATATAATGCGACTTAAAATGTTATGTAAAAAATATGGGAGTGTATATTTTGTAGCCAATTGCAATTTTTTCCATTTCAAATAATTCTTATGATTTACTTATGTTGGAATAGAAAAGAATCTATCGTTTCGACCAAATTATATCGGCTATTTGTTTTTTTGCCTGGCTTACATCCTGTTGTCATATCGCTTAAGATGATTGATCTTTGATGTGTAGTGCACCTAATGTAGACCGATATCACAGGTCAATGACACTGAGATTAACAAACTAAACATAGTGCTTGATAAAAATTAGTAACATACTTTTTATTAGAAACTTGAAAGGATTTTAAAAATATTTGAAATCTACCAGATTAGTAAGTATTTCTATGTATTTTTATCATATTTTAAAACAGAATTCAAGAATTTTAAGGGAAATACACTTGTTGCACATATGCCGGAACCGGATCCGGTTACCCGGCAGCAAGATGTACAGAATCTTATGGCAGCTTTCGCACGTGACAGAAGGAGCTATCCGGCGAACGGCTGCCGGGTTGTACAGGCTAACTGGTGACCAAAGTAGTAGTAGTGCGTAGTTTTGTATTGACGCTTTCACACTTACCGGGTGCTTGCCGGGTTCAGTCGTCTGGTTTCATTGAAAAGAACAGGATGTGTCAATTCAAATCAAAATCAAAATTTTTAAATATTTGTACGCCAACTATGTTGAATGTTTGTTTGCTAGAAGTAGATATTGCATTCTTTATATCACTCGTTGGAACCAGACCTATCCAGAGGGACAAAGCTTTAGTCTTCATATTTTTTGAATATTTTTAATTTTTTATTTTTTTTTATTGCTACGACTGCGGCAATATACAAGCCACAATGCGTCTACGATCCATCTCTTGTTATTATAAAAATGCAGCTGAGACTAATCCCGGCCAAACTGGTTTGAAAATTAAATTACGTGTGAAAGGGCAAGTGTGAAACGAGGCTTAGATTGCAGGCTTCCGTGGCAGTGGTCAATGGTTGAAAATCTTCAGCTTTCGACACTTCATAAAATTAGACTTGTTCTCTCGAAACTAGAATTTTCAGTTTCTTTTGTAGAACAAAGTGATATGAACAAGTTTTAATTTTATTCAGCTTAGCAAATATTTGTTGCAAAATACAATTAGATTATTTAAGGAAAAAAAATGTAAAAAGTGTCTTACATCTCAATTGACAAGTAGCAGCAAGCTTGTAAGAGTATAATTAATAGTTGTGTAGGAAGTTATCAATATTCATAAAGCGTTGAGGCTAAAAGTTTATCAATGAAAGTAGTCCGAGGGGGAGGGATCGAAGATACTACAAGTTGTGTATAATATTGGCGGCCGAAGAGATATTTCTCACAGTCATTCTGTGACTAGTATTCGTACTCGAGATCATTGCAAGATGATGCTAACGCATCAGTTAACGGTTGAGGAAGTGAATAATCTTGAAAGTGAGACGTTTGTAAGAATTTTTGGAAATACAGTGGAACACTTTCCGGCAGCTGCTATTGCGATTTTGAAAAACAGACCGTTTTTGGACATTGACGATATAATTAAAGCTGTTACGGACTTCTTGGATTCGCTTAAGGTTTACGGTAAACATTTGCTTTTAAATAGTCAATAACTAATTAACTTCGAATTTTTTTTTTTATTAGAAAAGGAAAGGATTCTACAGTTATACCCTGACGTCGTAAATAAACTTTTTTATTCAAGTCAGTTACCACTGAAGAGAGAGATAAGAGGGAGTGATCATCTGACCGTTGATGACAAAACAAAATTAAGGGAATTGGACGATAACTATAAAGTAAAATTTGGTTTTCCTTTCATTATCGATAATAAAGAAAAGGATGTGAACACTATATTCTCTGAAATTATATCTAGGCTGCAAAACAGTAAGGAGAAAGAAATAGATAACACAATGAGAATAGTGAAGAATATCGTCAAATTGAGAATACACGAAATTGTGCGATGAACTCTGCCAGTTGCATACCCATTTTAATAATAATACATTTTAACATTTATTTAAACATATAATACATAAATTTAGTTGTCGAGTTCTAGAAAATGTAGAGAATATTACAAAATGAATTGAAATTATTTAAAAACTATGTATATACCAATTTTTGTATGTACTTCTTTCTATAACATAGTTACTAACCTTTATTAAACTTAAATGTATAATTAAAAATCATTTAAGAATATTATTGAAAAATTAAATAAATGTTAAATTGCATAGGTTAATTCATATTGAATATTTTCTTATTTAAATATTTTGTATTTTTATTTATAAATAATATTTTGTAAAATATTAAGTTTTTTCACTTACCTCTCTTTTAATGAATGAATCCATTGTGATTTAGTCGGCAGATTTAGGATTTTCTTGTTATTTTAGATACAAGAGAGTTACAAAACATCTAAATTTTAAGTTCAATAAAAAAAATGTTACTTAAATACATTTTTTATTTATTACACAGGGTGTTAATTAAGTATGTGGACAAACTTTAGTGGATAATTGTTTGTACGATTTAAAGCCAAAAGGGGGTGGAAATTAAAAAAATACCGTGTCTAAAATATGTCTGTAGACATTTCATACAAAACGATGAAACTTAGACTAATAATTTATCTAATTAAAGGTAAAAATAGAAATACGTTAGTGGAGATACTGAGAGCCGGTTACACTGAAAACGCCACTGGATATTCTGACAATTCGATCACTACTTCTAACTGTGACATTTTCAAGAAAAACAATGACAGAATTGAAGAAGTTAGTCGCATAGAAATTTTGCAATTTGTTAGTGATAGTAGGGGGTAGATATTTGCTCCAATCATTCTGGGACTTCATGATTAGGTTGTATTTAAAATCGCTTTTTAGAAAGAAATTCATGAACTTTCTTGGCAAAACGGGTAGTTCGAAAAGTTATATTAGGTTTAATGAAGTGTTTGGTAACAATAACGAAAGTTACAGAACTAGTAAAAAATGTACGTTTATCCCTCCAAAGCATTTTTCAAATTTCGAGTCAATATCTTTAAACCTCTGAAATAATTAAAAATAAATAAAAAATAAAAATTTAAACACTGTATCTCTAAAGCGAAGTATATTTCAACCTACGTTTATATGAACTTTTTTTCAGGAAATATCTTTGACAACCGTCCCCTAAAATCTTTCGCACTTATTTGCAAACACCCTGTATAATATAGAGATTAAAAAACGGAAAAACTAATACAAGCAAGCAAAATAATGTGGCTTTTCGCACTACGATTTCAATAATTTGGAAGGATAGAAATAAAGTAAAGTCTCTATTCCTAAACAATTAATCGAAAATGAAGCGCTCGAGATCTTTTCAACACAAAGCAATACATGTAGATACTTAAAGACTTATATTGTAGATTTCTCATTTTTTCTATAAAAATTTTAAACAAAATATTTGTAAGTGCTTATTACGTCTATTGGTTATAACAACCGTAAACAAACGGTCCCTTGAAGGTCGTTATAATCGAATTTCACTGTATATCCAAATTCGGTGGATTCTTTACCTTAAACAAGAATAAATTGTTAGACTGTTTCATTATTCTATATCAAACATTTTTACAGATATTTTAAAAAACATGAACATCCTGAATTGAAACCATCAATTTGCAAAGTCATATATTAATTGAAGTATACACGAAATGCTTCGAAAGTGAAGCGTATCCTGAAAATAATTTTTAGGATTATTTTCTCTTATTTTGAACACCTGAATTCAAATTTTTTGCTTCACCAATTAATCCTAAAATGCCATGCAGATAGTGGACAACTTCAACATCTTGATTTATACACAGAAGTTGGTGTTATTGAGTAAAAACTTCCACGAATAAGATTATTTTATAACTTTATTTAGAACAAAAATAATACCATATTTCTTCAATAAGCGATTTCATTTTTAAATAATAGCCACTGCCACTTCATAAGCTAATCCGCACATATTCTTCCCTATGGCCACATACAAGTACCCGTTATCTCCAAAGTCTTCTCCCCAGGAATTCTTAACGATGTAATGGGGAACGTCTTTAGTCAGGTCATATCCGACTATCTCAACGGCGTGGTTGAGTTTAGAAGGGTTCCCATCACAGTGAAACTGAATTGTTCCACCGATGTAGTGTTGCCAAGATAATGCGTTAATGGCAACCGCTACAGGTCCGTTGACAGCTAAGAAATACAGAATCTGTTCTTCGGCACCTACAAAACTATAAAAATAAACTAATGTAGTGACCCTACTAAATGTAGTGCAGTCAGTTGAGGTAAAATTATGTATACGTCCTATCTAAGTCTCAGTTTAAAAATACATATCAATTTCCCTTTAAATAGATTATACTTACTCCTTACAAATAAAATCGTGTATGTGTACACCTTCAGTAGACATTTTCCTACACTTTCCGTTCCTTAAAGTTAAAGGGTAATCACTTTCCTTACTTATTACGAATTTACTCCTCTTCATCCAGCTCAAGAGTGCACAAACGTTGCCTCCATCACAGCCATCGAATGGTGCGCAGTCAATAATGTTTTGTACGCTGAGGCTCTGCAACTTGCCACTACCGATTGCGTTGACCGATTCAATCATTCCAACAGCAGCGAATGCCCAACATGCACTACACGACTGTTGGCTCTTTACTTTGGTTACGACATTTTTCTCTCTCCAATCGACTTTTTCAGGTATGCTCCTACTAACACTTTGCTTTATCCTTTCTGAACTATCTTCATCGGAGTTAAGGTTAAAGTATTGTGGGAGTAAAATTCGTTGTAATTGATTAGATACGTCTGGTAATAATTTTAACTCGTGGAATTCCTGTGGGAGCATATCAGAGTATTTTGTAGGCCCATATTTAGCAGTGTTACTGGTTTTATTTAAATTCAGTTGCCTTATGTTTTCTAAAGAATGCTAAAATCAAGTCTAGATCGTTATACAACTTTTACAACATTTTTACTTTACCTTAAACGCTTTTAACCTCTCACCATACTCGGATAAGTTATAAGATTTGTTGTAAGTTGCAATGTAGTTTTGAAATTGTATTTCTTCTTCATCCAAGTTTTTTATTCTTATTGGAATAAAAAATAAAAGTAAAAGTGTACAACAAAGAAATTCAATACAACACCTTTTCCTTGATCTTTCAACTGTATTTGGCATTGTAAAAGATGTTAACCACATACATATAAATAAGCATTTTATGGTTTTTACATACAGTTCTTATTCTCTCATTTATGTGTGAAGCATGCTGGTAGATAACACCAGAAATCAAATTGCTAAACATAAACAAAGTTCAAGTTGAGAACAGAGGTGGACTAAGGACAAGAGAGATTTCTATAAATAAATATTTACTAAAAATTATTTTATATTTGATATTCTACCGAGTAAAAATTAAATCTTGTTATTACTTGATGTGATAGTTTGCTAATTTATTTTATAATACCTAATTCCTTTTTTAATAAATTGCATACAAAAATATGCCTATCATTGAACTGCTTGGTATGTTGACAAATAACTCACCTTTCACTTAAAACTTCTAAGAAATCAAAATATAGACTATAACTGAAATTATTTTCAGACAAAAATTTTTTATTGAAACATTACATCTCTAATTTTAAAATATTTTTCTATTTCTAGACGTGGAAATTAAAAGTAATAAATCTTAAAATTATAGTCCATTTCACCATTTAATTTTCTGATTTATCTATTTAGTAGGTCAGCATAAGCAGTTGATATTAAGTCTTCTTCTTTAACTTCCAACTGCTTCATCAGATCAAATGCTATTTTCTCCCCATCTTCTGGACTTTGGTCTGGTCTTAAAACAACCTGTCATGAAAATATAAATGGATGGTTAACTTCTACAGAATTAAAAATTTACAAACTGAATTTTAAACTGCTAATTGTCCAGTGCAAAAAAATTTGTTTTACGAAAATATTACTGTTCGTCTAAATCACTTGTATAATTTCTTATTTAGTAAGGTTGCTACAAAAAATATAACTATTGTAGTTGCTTTTTATAGTCATTTGTGATGGAGGTGGAAGATTTGCTGTAAAAACCAGATACTTTAACTGTAGAGATTTGGTAACCCAATTTTTTGTAAACTGATTTTACACTGTGATTATTTTACCTCAAATTCTAAGAAATCTCCTAATCCCTCGACAGAATCTACATGAATTCTAGTCTGATCAACTAGAAATAGTTGTCGGACTTTTTTGACGATAACGGTTGTTCCTAAAGCCTTTGCCAGAACAGAACAAAGACTATCCACATTCTCTTTAGAAATATTTGTTTTCTCAAAAGAGCTCAATTTAGGGCCTTCCGTATCGGGTCTCTCATAGTAGATTAGTTCAGCATTTCCCTCCTAAAAAAAGGAATGTGAACTATTTGCATTTTAAAATTTGAAATTGCACTTATAACCTCAAATTTTCTTAGTTTTAACCGGCCCTGGGGAACTTTAAAGAAAGTGTCGTGCTGTTTAATTATTTGGCCATCGGATTTACTAATGAACCTCACGTTTTTAATTAACAACTGTAAATTTCTTGCATATGCCTTTATTTCTATATTTCTCATATTAAATTCTGAAAAATGTTTACCTAACCTAAATATCAAAATATTCGCACTGCACTAACTAAACTGCGGAAAAATTATTTAACAATTAACAGGTAGGCAACTGTCACGGTCCGTATCTTTTTTACGGACCGTGGGCAACTGTAGCCTATGGAAACAGTCTCACCACAAAACTGAACAAAAGTATTTTTATTTTTTTTCCTTCCAGTTCCATTTAAAATTTTGTTCGGAAGGCAACATACAATACAATACTTGTGTATACTTGGCTGCATAACTATAACGGCTCTCTCTACCTCTTCCAGTTTTTGATTTTGTTTTGATTCATTTTTTATTTATCTTCTTCCTCCAAATTTATAGCTTATAACATATGCGTTTTTAGGCACATACCTATTTAGCCCACAAACCTAATAGCCATTTGTTTCTTATTTAGAGATGGTTTTGTTTTTTGACAGTTAACAGAAAACGTATGATTGTAAACATAACCTTATTTCATTTCAGAAATTTGAAAATCTTTAATATATATTACAATGCCAATCAAACATGAAATTGTTTCATGTGTTATCTACTATTTTTAGAAGCAAAGGATTTTTAATGAGAAGTTACCCTATTTTAAAAACTACCAATATGACTATAAACTTTATTAGATCGTCTTTAGTAAGCAAAAGGCTTCTGAATAAAGCTGGCAGTAAATTTCTTCATATAGGTAGTGACAATGAGGATTTGTATGAAGATTTTCCCTTTGAAGAAAATGAACTGGATCATAATAAAAATGTTAGAAATATTATATTTAAGAATCATCAAGATGACATAATAACAGAGCTGAACTCGTGTGTTTCTGTTGAACAAGTTTTAAATTTAGTTATGAAATACAAAAATATATATGAAGATAAACATGCTGTGCAAACTATTTTGGTACTCACAGATTTGCAGAGAATATATTTCCAATTTAATGGTTTTAGTAAGACCGCCTTAAATATGTTTTTAGAAAATTTAAAGAAAAATGAAGGATTTTACTCTTTATTAGGATGTATTCGAAATGAATTACATAAATTTGATCCTAATTATTTAAGTTACGTAATCCTCTATTTAAATAAATTAGGAATTTCAATGGAGGACATGTTAATGCAAAATCTAGCATTAAAAGTTCGAGATAATTTATTGAAAAACTTTTGCTTAGACCAGTGTACTAAATTTTTAACAGTTATTTTTTATGAGAATAGCGTAAGACCGTACTACCTCTCACTGTCTATCGCACCACTAGTTTTTAATCATATAGGTAAGCATATTACTGTGTAATAGTACTACATTATTGATCTTTTTTTTTTTAGAGAAGTGCAATTCTGTGCATGACTTGTATAACTTAGCTGTTTGTCTAAATAAATTGCATAATTTAGTTACTACCGAGTTGTTAGAAAAATATAAAGGAAAAGTTACAGAATTTGTGGATAAGAAAAAATTAACGGGGGCTGATTATTCGACATTATTAAAAATAATCTTGCTTTTAAACTATCCAGAGTGGAGGTATCAAAATATTCAAGTGATATCGAATTGTATTTTGCTGTTAAAGGATGAAATTAATTTGCTAAATATAGAAGAACTTGCAGTTTTGTATGAGGTAAGATGAGTTTAATAATTTGTACATGTAATTTATACGTGCGATAATGTTTGTAATGGTACCTAAATATTTACATTCCAGATTTTTTTCAAAAATCAAGAACCTGGAATAATACTGAACAGTATTCAAAGATGTTCTGCAAAATTTTTACATCAGTTAGATGAAGAACCTGGGGCAATTGAGAATTTGACAAGGCTGAGGCTGTTTTCTTCTTTGATTTACTTTTCATCTCCATTGCACCGAATACAATTTCGGACCCACATGCCAAAGTATTTAAATATTTGTCAAAATTACAAAGAGTTAATTCAACTGAGAAAAATTTTCTCTTACGTAAAAGTATCCGATCCAAAAGTGTGTGCAAATTACTGGAATTTATCTCTTAGAATATTAGAAGAAAAATTTGATGGAAAATCAATTTTAAAACAGTGCCAAAACTACATATATTTTAATACTGACATTAACAATTACCGACATTATAAATTTGAGTCTAGAATTATAAACCTTATAAGAGAATCTTTGCTAACAGACCCATTTTTGAACCCTACTAAAATATCGGGATATCTAAGTTTTGTGATACTTTACGGAAAAGGTAAAGATATGGACATTTTGGGAGTGCTTTTAAATAAATTTGAAGAGTATTTGGATCGTTTTAAAGCATCGGACTGTTTAAAAATATCTCATAGTATATCACCTTTAAACAGTGGAAATAGTTGCGCTTCACAGGAACAAATTCAGAGCACTAAAATATTACTTAATAAATGCACAAAGTATCTATTAGAAGTCGATGATCGTAATTATTTACAGGACAGTATGTTGTTAAAAGCGTATGTCTTGAGACACGACTCGGATGACAAAATATTAGAAAAATTATTCTCAAACTATAAAAATATTGATTTTATGTCGTCAAAAATTATAGAAAATATTAGCCACATCTGCATGACCACGCAGAGTTTGATACCGGAACTTATTAATAGATGTACTGAATACGTTACGAAATACAAAGATAATATTCTTGGTTTTAATGCCGAGAAACTTCTATTTTTGTGTTACTACTTGGCTTATCATCCCATTAATGGAAACGAATTCTTTGATGTTGCTGTTGATGTAATTATTAGGTAAGTATTTGAGCTGCTAATAAGTGTATTTTAATTTTAGACCAATTTCTCCTTAACAAATAATTTCTTTTTGTATCTAAATTCCCTTCAGAGAAGCAAAAATTGGAAGAAAAATTTTTTTTTAATCATACAACTAAAATGTTTTCTATGTGGTATAACTTTTATGGCGGCTACATAATTTTTTAAATAAGCATACTTTGTTGATGACAAATTTAGGAAATAGTGATTAAAAATTACTGTACATCTTGACTAGACGAAAAAAGAGAGTTTGATTACTAGAAAGTAATGAGATGAAAAAATATATCATTTTATTTATTTCAGAGATCAAGAACGTTTAAGCGGTCTAGCATTCCTTCAAAGCGCTTTATCTTTGAGTTACTTTAACAAGTTACCCAGTTCGTTTGTGAAGCAGATTTTTAACGTGGAGTTCTTAGAGAAGCTGGATACTGAGCTTGACAATTGTTACTCTAAGGTAAAACACGTATTCATAGCTTACATTGGTGACTGTCAAAGTGCTGCTAAAAACCCCACCCTTTGGTGGAAATATGGAAATAAAAAATTTACAAGAATGTAATATTTTAGGATAAGTATCCTCAGCGTGTGAGGAAAGTATTAATGATGTTGAACAGAGCCGTTTGTCTGGAGTACCCCGAGTATAATGTTCCGTGGTTTCACAAAAAATATCTCGAGGACACTAAAAAAAATTGTAAGTACCTTTCCACACAGCCTTGACGATTTTCCGTTTCTCTTAACTTATTTTTGTCCAAATTCTCTCTTCTACGTTTGTAGTTTATGTTGTGATTGCAACTAATATATATTTTATTTTTAGTGTTAAAAAATATGGACAATAAATTTCAGCAGAGGATAAAAGAATATTTAGTACAGGTGTTGGGAACGCAGAAATATATTTCTGAATGTGTAATAACTCCTTATGGGCACCATATAAATTTTGCAGTAAATTTTAACAAAAAGGAAGAAATTGTTCCATCACACTCACCCGAGATAAAGAGAAGGTAGGTTTAAGTTGTTTCTTAGGAATTGTAAGTTTTTTAATTAGGAGTTGCATACAAAGTTGCTTGCATTAAATCTTTGGGAAAGACATACATACATACAGGGTGTATCAGTTCATAGAGTAACGGCACAATAATTTTTTGTTTTTTGTCTGATTTAAATTAAACTACGAAAAAAAATAAAACATTTTTTAATGCAAAATTTGTAATTGTTAATTAATTTAAAAAAATTAAACTTATTTAAAAATAATTTGTCCCAAAAATCTCTCGTTTTGATAAGCATTCGTATTTCCACCATATATTTTAGAGTGAGAGAAAGGGTAGAATGGGGTGACTTGTCATATCTACCTTAGAACATATACTACTGGAGACAGCTTCCCAGTGGCCGAGAGTGTAACGGAGGTTGTAGAGAGAGAGAGAGAGAGGTATAGGAGGGTATATGCTATCTCTCTCTAGCAGCATGCGATTGGTTCTGCCGTGAACAGCTGCCTCTGTCATTAACAGAGGGAGAAGACGGCAGCCATTCGCGTGCTGTTAAAGAGAGATAGCACATACCCTCCTATACCTCTCTCTCACTCTACAACCTCTGCTACACTCTGGGTCACTGGGACGCTGCCTCCAGTAGTATATGCTCTAAGATATCTATTAGGATTAGGCCATTTTCAGACAAACAACAGTGCTGTTCTTTGTATTTTTATGATTGAATTCTTTTTTCTTTAAACTTCTTTTGTTTTCTTTTATTATTTCTATTTCTATGTTGAATTTTTTTAAGTTTTTGAGCGTTTTATTTTGAATTGAAAGAATAGATTTTGTAAAATGGAAATACTTAAAACCATATAAAGGGATGTAATGTTTTCTTCCATAGCCATCATAGACCTTGTATGGATAGTAGTCTTTGGTGACCTCTACCTTTTAAGGTCATTTTGGGTTAAAACAGACAAGAAACAAACAAAATATTGCAATGCTGTGCTCTCTAAAGTAAGATACACTGTACTATGTTTATCGACATACTTTTATTATACCTGCAAATTGAGTAGATTGCTTCCTTGTGCTCCTAAGGACATTTTCAAAGGTCATAATTAATCACAATGCTGAGTATCAACCAATAATTAATTGTACTAATTTTCAAAATGCGGGTTGTAGTGGTATTAATACTATTAATGTTAAAATCGTTATTCTAGGGTAGCCATTTTACTTTTGCGACAACGTGCATTCACCCGTTTTCATGTACAGTTAAAGGGAACATACCAGCTACAGAAAAGGCATTTGGAAATATTTGGATACGAAGTCGCCGTCGTAAACTTTAGTGAATGGGTTAACTTGGTTCACGGTGGGGAGCGTTTGGAATATATTTCGAAATTGATATGGCCCAACGGTAGGAAAAATACAGTCAACGTAATTAGTAGGTGACAATAAACGTTTTTGAATGATTTTTCCAATTCATTTTCCTAGTGTTGTGAACGCACGAGTGATTTATGGATAATTTTTTGTAAATTAACAAATCGAAAATTTTATTATTATTTTCTCAAATAATTTGGAATGGATTCGTATTGAATCACTGTTACTCTTTTGAGTGTACTACATTGATGTATAACTTGTTTTAGTAGTTTTTGAAATAAAATCTTTACTTACCTTAGGAGTCTTAATATTGTATCCTGGCAATTTCTTGTCAGGCGTTTGTAAGTCAGTTTGTTTAGTAATCGAGCTGGGTTTGTTACTGTGTTATTACAAGTTCAGGAAAAGCAGGAAAGGGTTGTTAGTAGCAATCAAATAAGTTATGTTTGAAGCAAATGAAATGCTTTATTAGATATACACCACTGCAATAAATACACGCTTTATAACAAACTGATATGACTTAATCATCAAAAGTTGTACTTAAAGAGACACTTAAATAAATAAATAAATAAATATAAAAGTCAATTTTTAACGATGACCAAACATTTTCTGAGGGAACGAGCGCACCTTAAGGCTTAAATAGGAAAGCTTTGGCAAAATATCCAAAAAGGCGGAGACGTTCCCCATGTTCCTGTCCCATCAGACTTAATTGAGAACTGAATAGAATCATCAATCAGTATTTCTGGATGCACAACATTCTATAATAATTCTTAAATTGACCCGAAATCTATTGACTAGGCACACTTATTTTATATAACAAGAAACTGTCCTATGAAAAATAGAAACTTTTTGACAATAAAAGAAACAGCTAAATCAATCAAATAGTTATCCGACCTTGCAGCCGAACTTTACAACGGTTTAATTTTTTTTCGATTTTTAAAAATACTTTTATATTATTACATCAACATATAAATTATTCTTGTAACATGACCAACAGTGTATACATGGAATGCTTAGACTTTAGCCAGATAATGTGCTCCATAATAATCGAGTGACACATACTAAACATTAACGATCATATACAAAATAAATCTTTCGGAATTCGATCTCCAAAGAAAACTGCTGCCCAGGGCCCTTACTAAGAAACATCGATCATGCCCAACTAACATCAAACTACGGTTTTTCACACAATGAAGTTGCTCTTCTTATTCTGCCCTCCGTGAAATAAAGGCCCTAGGGAAAGAGTTACACCTAAGTTTATAACATTTTGATTAACAACTTTGAAAATACTTTGGATAGTTTAGTTGACAACTAGTGGAGTTTAGCTTTATTGTCCACTGCCGCAAGAAAACAAGTGTCGTGCACTTTGGTGGGGGGTGCAGAGCATGCACGCAGAGACACTACTAGGCCAAGCAGCGTAGCCTTTAGGCCACTATTACGTTAACACTCTTGTTTAAACACTCGATCCACTTGATTATGTATTTTAACAAATATAGCTCAAAAATATATTACATTACTCACAATATATTGCCTTCAATTTTGCGGATATAAGTACATACTAATGCGTCAGTCTTTGAGAGAAATGTTGTGGGAAATCAAGGATAAAACGCAAAATTTTACGACCACTACGCTTCTTAAAGCCTTTTTTTTATTGTATCGGTAACTTAAACTTTTTATATGTAAAATATTTCAAAAAAATGTACATGTATGTCATCGTATATTTTCTTCTTTAGTATTGGCATGCTGCTTCTAATTGTTTAAAGAAGAAGACGTCGAGAAATTAATATCCTATATATGAATTTTTTTAATTTTGTGTCATATCCTTTATTTCCCATGACAGACTTAAGCTTAAGCAAAAGCTGTAGGTTTAGCAACTACACCAGGGCTGGCTAAAGCGTATTAGTAACGATACACGGACAAATGTTTAAAAAATCTGCCTTCAAGCAGCACAGCGGAAGCAAGAAAAGAAGCACATTATCGGGAACAACAAAATGCCATCCTAAAAAATGGCATAGATATGTGTCGAATGATCTAACACATATTAAAAACTTACCCATTTTTAAACTCCTTCGCAGGACACTAGGCTGCCAGACAGTACAGTTTGACAAAAGTAATTCGATCCCTTAATTTTTTGTAGTATTGGTAACTTGGGAGGGTGCATTTTTATAATAAAATGTAGATTTACTATTATCATCGTCATAATAATTTTATGTGTTGAAAAGGTAATAGGAAGTTGCTAAAATAGAATTTCAGAGTAGGTATGGATGATTTAAGGAATTCTTGTCAATCTGTCTGACAGCGCAGCTTCTAGAATTGATACTATACACAGATAACACACAAAAATCTATTGCTATTGCGACCAATGGCAGGAACAATTACGGACAAAGCAGCTATGCTATTTTGGCGTGTCCGGGAAGACCCATGAGACTGTGGGGGCTAGAGTCCGATGTACATAGCCCCTACAGCCAGAATAACATGGGTCAATGAATTCATGTGCGGCTTCACAACAAGAAAACACTTAAATATATTATATATGTTGATAAACTCGAAATTTGCCAGTCCTAACAAATACCTAATACTACCTTTACAATCGATTGCCCAGAACTACACCAAACTATGTCGAATTACGAACAGTGAATATAAAGAATTGAAGTCTGATTTAAATCTCTTTCAAACGTCCGTTCCTATTGAACTCAATTTTTTTAGTAATTTTTCTTTGGACTGAATGTTTTTTTTTGCAAAGGTATTATGAAGGATTCATTATTACAATTATTGTTTGAACTGAGGATATTAATGTAAAATGTTTAAAAAGATTAAACCAGTTTTCATTTTTCGTATATGGTCTTAGGAGAAACCGTAAGTTGAGACAGATTCACTTGATACAAGAAAAGTTTCTGGGCAACTTTACAACCATTAGGGACGTACAAAGCACATAAAAATACAATATTTATATAAAACGACTAGAATATGACGTAAGCAGCTGTTTGGTCGGTGGGGCGGACCAGGCTTTCTATTTTAAAATTTGGTCCGCAGTATCCAGCCAACAAAGCAAGGAAATTTGGTGTAATTAGTACAGTCAGTACAGTTACATATTTATATTATAGTACAACACATAATCTAACTTTTTTTGGTGTTTCTTTCGCGAAGAGATGTGGTGAAGGAGAGCATTTCTATGCCGTCTGACAATTTGTAGGATTTATGTCTCTCTCTCTATCTTAATTGGTAACAATTTCACGTTCATTACGATATGTTGGATTTTCTAAACTAACGATAAAACAAATATTTAAAACCTAATTTGGCTCTTTGGCAATGCAGTTGAGCAATTTTGTTGGTCTTAATGGTTAGTGGCTTTAAATACTTCTCGTTTAGAAAAATAAAGTTGTTATTTGTGCAAGTTTTGATTAGAGTTTTGATTTTTATTTTACTACATTTTTGTAACGCACGAGAAAAATCTTAGAAATTGTCAGTCTTCGTACACATTAACATTACCTTATGGGGTCATAACTCAATCCCCATAAATTCAACTAAAGACGATTTTTAGAAGATAACTGCTGAAGAAGACACATTATGTGATTTATAAAAAATATAGAGAGGAATACCGAGTTGACAGCAAACGTTCAACAGTGAATTTTGAAAATTGTAATCAAATAATTTCTACATCGTCTACTTTAAATCATATCGAGATTACATTGAGTTTTAAACTTGTTTTAAGTTGCACTATAAAAAAATTATACCACTGTTTTTGCTGCTTATGAAACTCGTGTTTCTCATACATTGTATATTTGATAAGTAGAGTCACCACTAATAGTCAGGAATCTTGTTTTTATAATATGCATCTGAAAAATTCACTGTCAAATTATAGGCTGAAAATATGTATTATAGGTGAAAATGGAACGTTTACTGCTGTGATATAAATCTTGGAATGGAGAAATTAAAATTAAAGAAATGAATCGATAACAAAACAAAGTATTTTTTTTATTTTGTATTTTAACTTTGGAAAACCAAATGTTACGTTTTTTTTTAACTTCTATTCCAAATATTTATATCAGAAATGAGTCTGTTCTCGTCTACATCCATCGAGTTCTACACTGTTTGTAGTGGAAAATGCAGCAACCAGCGATTAACGAGTGAGTGTCGAGTAGAATATGTGAAAAATGTTACTGTTCGATTGTGTACCTGTTTCCGAAAGTCTGCAAATTATGTGGAGTGAGTTGGAACCGCTTCGGAGCATTTCACCATCAGTGCAAAGTGATAACATCGGGGTATGGGAAGGCATTTCCGATAATCACAGTCTGTTAAAGAGGTTCTGTTCGAGCGCAAACGGGGATTACAAGAGTGGACATTGCGGCATGGCGCATTTAACAGTGCACAACAATAATCATCTACAACATGAGCAAATACGTATAAAAATTATTTTTGAAACAACCCATGCAGCGTTTAACAACAGATATTGTGCAGAGAGTGTATTGGCCCCTCTGGGAGGAGAACAACAAACAGGACTAGAAAACTTGCGCCGGCCGCTGACAAACGGGGCATCTCGAGTCAGCCAGGATAAACGGTGGACGAGTATGCTAAAAGTAAATAAACTCTCTTATAAATCAACGATGAAGTCTCTTAAACGTTCCCGTGGAAATTCTTCGACTTCACTAACACTTTTCTTTCTTACATAACTATAGAGAGTACATGTTACTTGTAACTTTTTGTTAAAAGTTTCTACCTAAACTTAAGTAATGACTAGAAATTAAAATAGTTTTAAAAATTACAGTCACACAAGCAAAACGCATAGCGAGTAACCTGAGAAATTACAGCTAAAAATATTTTAAATGTTTAACATAATTCTCGATATTCTAGATATAGAAAAAATTACAAGTAATTGAGGAATATGTTGTGAAAGTGCAAATAGGAATTATCCTGGCCTAACGAACAAATAAGCTAAAGGAGTGTGCAGTTAGTGAGCTGTGAACAGAGAGGAAACTACATATATGTACACGCTCCACCTGAATTAAATAGAGTTATGTTCCCTAGATTAATTGACATGAAGGTAAACGTAACATATTTCAAGTGACAGACCCCAAAATTGAGACCAAGAATCGAAAATTGTGCGTTTGCGGAAAATGGACTTGATATCTGGAGATGTGGGTGTGAGAAATCCTCTTATCTGTAGAATTGTAATTTTAAAAAGTGAAATTCGTTAAAAATATACAGCATTCTTGGCCACAACTCAGTGGTGCTCTGCATTTGCTTTATCACTAAGAAGTTCGTTACCAGAACAGATGTGTTGTTTGATTCAGTCTTACCGAAAATGTATTTATGCTTTAACTCAGACCTACTGAGAACTGCCTACTTAATCTTATTCATTACCACTACGCTACTAATACTAATGACTATGATACGAAAAAAATCACACATGCCTATACTAATTATATAGGATTTGCTTATTTGGGCCCAAGGAAGATTGTTCAAAAAAGTACATTTTAACATTACACAAGCCTTCCCGAAGGAATAATATCATCACACTTACGCTCTAAGTACAAAAGTACAATATAGAAAGAGAGGGCTGTGAACAGCCGTGCCGTGCTCGTTGTCGTGGTCACTCGGAAGAGGAGAAGGATTTCAGAAGAGAGGGCGCGCTATCACCAATGTAAAACGTCCAGAAAAACGTACGCCACAAAAAGATGTCGAGCCACATATGAAAAAAATTACTTAAATCCAACTCTACTTCGAGACATTCTATTGCTCAAATACTTGATTTTGTTTTTTAAATGAAACGGATCTTTTTGTGCCGACTCATTTATTTCGTTCTGGACATTTAGCAAAATAAAAAGAAAAATAAAATAAAAAAAAACTAATTGAAAACTGCAAGAATTGGTATTATTCATTAAAAAAAGCATTTACAACAAAAAATCAAAGAAAAAACAAAACAATGTACATTTAATTTAAGAACAATTTTACCATTAAATTAATATATAATAATAACAACAAGTTTAAAAATGTATTAATAAAAACTGAGTGTCGTGTTACACCGGAGCTTTCGGTCGCGATCGGGAGCCTCGAGGTGCCCGCCCGAGGACGTCTAAGAACAATAGAAAAAATAGAGTGCACTCTGAACAAGACACTAAAAACAATATATAACACTTGTCGGGCGGCCACCGGAAGTTGGCGATCGGAGAGATTCTGGTGCCTCACGGCACTTTTCAAGAGGGCTGGTATTTAGGATTGAGATCGCTCAGCCCTCGCGAAAATGCGATTGACGCTTCCGGATCTCAAAAAAAAACAACAATTATATAATATAAATAATAATAAGATATAAATTACTGTAAAAAAACCGGTTCCATCGAGACAAAAATCAGAGTTTGCTCGCCTGGTCGAGAATTAGTTATAAATACTGTTAAATTAAAAATTAAACAAAAGAACGTTATGATTATTAAAGTATACGAACAACTTAATAACAATTTTATTCAAAAAATTAAAATTTGGATAAAGTGAATTAAGCAACAGTTAAAATTTTAGTTGAATTTCACGTTGAAATGTCACTGGTAATTATGGGAACAGTAGGGCCGTGATTTTGTCTCGAGGGTAACAAAATAATAATTAAACGAAAACCTAGCTACTAAGTAAATAGTCTTGAATGGCCCAAAGGCACAGGAACACGGACGCACATGCGTTACGCCAGAATCCTCTATCTTAAACTCGGCAGCATCAACAAACAAATATATTACTACAAAAAAACTACAACTATTTAAAAAAAAATAAGAAGGGATGGTGAAGAGATATTGCATGCACCACACTTGCGTTTACTAAAATTAAATGTGAATAATAATAATAACAAAACTAAAAATAAACATAAACAATGCCGGCAACGGAGTCGCCCGAGCGGCTGGAAAAAGGGCACGGCACGTGGTCATATTTATAATATAAACATCCACAGGTAAGGTATAAAATAGAGAACAATAATAAAAAAGAGCTAATACAAAGTACAGTTCGTGGTTGACTAGGGTCCGTAACAACGCGGCATCCCGCAAACAACAAGGCGCTATTTCTAAGAACATACACAACATCATACACGCATATTAAAATAGATCATATCATCGGAAACTGCTCAATTTAAATTACAACAATGGCCCAGGCACCACGCGATGCTTGGATAACATTTCTAATCTGAATAATAATAATAATATCCCTGTTTTAAAAATTGATAGATTTGGTCATTCAACATTGGCAACAGGCCGTTTTCTCAAGCGACGGCGTCGTCCAACTTTCGCATCGTCAAATCGTCAAACGTTATATTAAAAATATCAACATGTGAAATACAATACAAAACTATGACGATAAACATCGTTACAATTTTGACAACTTTAAAAAATAATACGTTAACAGACCAGCATCCGACCACTCCATTCAAAAATGCATCAACAAAAAGTGTTGGGAATGGCGGCTGGAGACCCTGCCTGAAATTGTCTACAGGCCAATGGGGGGCACCTGCACGTAACGATAAATGTAGAGCCTGTAGTCCTTGCTTGCCAAAACCACAGAACCGTCATCCATGAGGGCAACGTCGAAACACTGCGCGTGCTTCACCTTGCTCTCCAGGGCAGATACCAGCTGGCCGTCTTGGGTGAAAATTGTCAGATTGAAGTTGTTGTGATTGTCGGCGATCAGGATCTCGCCATTGGCGTTGATGCCCACACCGATCGGGTAATTGGTAATGCCCTCTCCGCCGATTTGACGCAAGTACACGCCTTCGTAACTGAAGACTTTGACGCAGTGCGCCCGGTTGTCGCTGATGAATATCTCCTGCTTGTCGTTGACGACGACACCATTGGGAAACTCTAGGTGTTTGGAGCAGCCGAACTTCTGTAGAACTGCGCCGGTTTGATCGAAAATTATAACACGCATAACTTTGCATTCCACCACAACGATACGTCCTTTATTGTCCACGGTAACACCTCGAGGATGTTGCAGAATGTTTGCTCCGAATTTACGTACGAACTGACCGTATTGGTTGTAAATCTGTATTTGGTGCGTCGGAGACCGTTCAGTCACGATTATATCTCCGGAAGTACGAACAACTGCGACGCGGTTGGGGTACAGCAACTGTCCATCGCGTTTGCCACATTCACCAAATTGGAATTTAAATCTGCCTTCCTTGTCAAAGATCTGTATTCTATGATTATTCGTATCCGCTACTATAATGTCATTTTGAGCGTTCACGGCTACGCCACTGGGTTCTGTGAACTGGCCCTCCATCACTCCAAACTCGCCGAATTTGCAGTGGTAAATCATTTTTTGTCGCTTAATTTGAGATTTAGGTGGGAAGATTGCCGTCGACATGAGTTTAGTAGTCAAGTCTAGCATGGGATCGCTGTGAGCTGCATTGGTTAGTGCATAGGGATCTGGCGTCCCGTTCTGGAAAATACTGTCGGTCGTCCCTCCATTGGACCACTTTTCATAAGGATTTATTCCATTGAGATTCAAATCACCGATGGTCGTCGAAAACGGACCCAAACTGTTGGCACTACTGAATCTTTTGCTAATTATGTTTGATTCGAAGGGGGAAGTGGATTGGCTCGAACCAGACATAGTGAAAGGACAGTGAATTCCACCATTCAAGCTTCCCGAACTACCGTTAACGCTGCTGCCGCTCGAGCTTGAACCGCCACCGCCGGTGGGTCTGGCAATCGGAGGTTGTTTGCTTGGACCCACGACGGGCTCTGAGTTGGATCGGACATATCCGAAAGTGTTTCGAACACCAACTTGGATCGCTTGATAGTTGGACACAAATTCAAGTTCGCATGCAGACTGAACATTTTGATCTATGTTGTAGTTCAAGAGACCTTGCAATTTAGCGTCTAATAATTTTCTAAACATTAAAATTTCAACAACGTTTGCACATTTATTCAGTCTCTCGACAAATTCGCAGGTTTTGTAGATCTGTTCTACAGTCTCTTGGCCCTTTTGTGTTGCAACACCCAATGATATTTGTTTGGCGCTGAACACGCTTTCTAGCTCCTTTAGCAACTCTTGCTTTCTTTCCTCCAGCATTGATCTATAAAAGAGGAAGGTATCATTGATCTCGTTTTGGGCCTTGTGATACTGCACTTGCAAACGGCTCGAGACATGTTCCACGTTCTTTAAAATGTTCCTTATGTCGGTAGCTTTGCTTTTGGCTTCAGACACGGCATGCTGGATAGCTTCGATCTGTTTGGGAGCAGCTTCACTGATGTGCTCGTATTCGTGCAGACCAACGGGGTGGTCCATGTTCAGACATTCCTTACAGATCGGCACAGTGCACGTACGACAATAATACTTTAGCAATTCCGATTTGTGTCTGGGACAGATCATGCTTTTCTCCGTATTGCTAATATTCCCGTTGGGAATCAGACCGTTTTTAGGTTCGTCCTTGATCTCTGCCAGATTAACGACCCTGTGGCCCTCAAAACAGTGCATGAATTGGTGTGCCATGACGCAGTTCGAGCACAAGTAGTTGGCACAGTCTACGCAGCGAGCTACTGCGTCTAGTTTCTTGTGTTTGCAGCCGGTGCAACGTACAGACGAGGAATGGAAGGATTCTGTGTTCGACTCCGAACTGAATAAAAGGCTGTTGAGGATTCCTTCGATGGATTCAGAGTTGCAACGAGGACACACAAGCTTATTCTTCTCGAGACAAGTATTGCAAAACGTATGGAAGCAAGCTAGAAGCTTGGGGTCTGAGATGGGTTCTCTGCACTGCTGGCAATGAAGTTCCGATGGGTCGCTGTCTCGGTCTACTGAATCGCTCACCGGTGGAGATGAGCCGCTGACAGATAGTGGCGAGTCAGCTAGGGGAGAAAGGGAAAGGTAGTCGTGTTGGTCACCAAACGATCCAATTGAATTAGCTCTTGGTAAAGATTCTATTGAGGGTGTAGGTGATGCCATCTTCAGTTACCCGTCATCCCTGAAAAGAAAAACACATTCAGTACATGACAAATGCCAAAAAAATAGAAACTTTAAATGTGAAGGAAAGTAAGTAATTAAATGACAGCAGTTGCTGCTTCATAACGATCTACCTGTTGGTAAATTTTTTGAATGTTCTTTACAAAAAGTGCTAAGTGCTTCTACCCCATATTTTTTTAATTCCTAGTTAGTACTAATGTAATTAAGGCTAATCTGCAGTTCGAACGAACACATACATGGTTGGAAGCTATGTATATAAATCAACACCAAAAGCTTTCTTTGTAAAGAGCCATTCTCAATTTGGTGGGCAAGTAGATGTATTACAAAGTAAGAAGGTTAGATTGAACAAAAAAGTAGGGCACAAATAATTTCCGTAACCATTCTTATAATGTTCTTAAAGTTCTTAATATCGAGCCCAATATTTAATAACTTTTCCTCATACACTATGAAGTTGTTAGTCGTTGTGACAAAAAATTATTTTAAACGTGACTAAATTGGTGAAAAATATGTAAATTGCACCTTGTATCGAGGACTAGGTGATTATTTTGATAATTTAACAGAGATGTATGAAATAATTAATGGTTCTGTTTGTGGTACAACTTATAAATTTATCAAAGGAACAATTTTGAAAGTTATCAGAGATGTGAATCTGGCACCTGACTTAAAAATTAAGATTTTGTTTTCAATTCTTATAAATTATGATACATAGTTGTTTTAATGCTACTACAAACAATTTTAGATAGAATGGATTATAGTGAACAGTTAAATTTTGGAACTAAATACGAAATTAACGTTACTACAAACGAATTTTAAAGTCAAACTTGAATACATTTGAAGTTGAAAACGTTTTATTAATTTTATATGGGTAAGACATTGCAAATTTTGAAAATAGCTCCAATTTTTTTTCTTTGCTACTACACACGAAAATTCGCTCACTATAATAAACTATAAACGATTTTCTAAAGGATGTCTGTGGATTCAACAGTCATATTTGAGTGCTGTCAAATTCGTAAATGGGTATTTTGTATAACTTTTTTGGGGCTGCTTACACGAAAAAAAAAATACACCCCATAAGTTTTAAAAATTGCCTAGTATACTTAGATAGTGTGCTCGATTTTGTTATTTTTAAGAAATAATACGAAAAATCGCGGTTTAAGGGTTTATCGATGAGAAACGGCGACAGATACTCCGTTCCAGAGCAACAAGGGCAACGAACGATTTGAGGATCGGGATCGGGTCCGTTATTCATACCGTCGTCCCTTTCGGAAACCGAAGCGGCGATGAATCAGAGGTGGTGGCGGAGAATGCACCGCGGGGGCTGTCAATTCGTGAGGGGGCGAGTGTTTAGACTAGTCTGGCGGGGTGGGAGGGTGAGCGATCGATGTGCCGACGAGGGGACGAATGCCTGTTGCCAAGCAACGGAGTGAGGGTTGCAACCCCACTTGAATTATTGCTGCAACAAGGTGGCTGGCCTAGCCAGACTAATGTCTACTATGCGTTTTGTTTTTACAGGAAGATCCTTCTGGAGGAAACGGCGGCGCTCATCTCCACAGGAAGACAATAACTTCCGAATGCCAATGAACGAGCGCAAACAATTCTATTGTCTGCCGTTAAATATGTTGCGCATTGTGCGAACGTAAATTGAAACGTTATGAGGCTACTTCAAATGAAATGGCCATTATTATTGGCAAGTACGGGGATTCACCAAAATGCTGAAACATGCCCTTAACAAAACAGAAATCTGCAACTATTTAATGTTAACATAAAATAGCGCTTTAATAAAGATTACAACGCTATCCGTGGACGAATAATGAAAAATGTGATTAATTACGATGCAGGGAACTTACATCGAAATGTTGTTATAGGCATTTGAAAATAAACTCCCTAGATATTGTTAAAATGCCGCAATCAACTGCCGTTTTGCCAACTTGAAATATAAGCTTGAGTTTTCAGTTAATTTTTGTGCATTTTGAAGCGCTTATTAAAAATTAATGCTGTTTTGATCTAAAATCAGCAACAATTTTATATTTTAGTAGTTATTTTGATAAATAGCATAAACTGACTTAGGTATGTCAAATCACCATTTTGAGGTAGACAGGTGCAATCGATGTAACAGCAATCAACTGTCATTATGGGGCAAAATCGCCAACTTTGAAACATAAGTTAACATAATCTGCGAATTTCGTTTTAACATGAACTAGCCCTGAAAGGCTAAAATATATCTGCAAATAATCTTGATTTTTTTGTAATGTTTAAGTACTAAGTGTAATCACTATTTTTTAAATTTAAATATTAGCGGGTTAAATGTCAAACGATTCCGTAGTTCCATTGATCTATGGTTCCATGGCATCAAAAGGAGAGGATCTGTTTAGTGACAGAGAGACTAGACAAGGAGCACGAACTCGTACGGGAAAATTGACAAAATTTGTCCAAGAAATGGCAGAAGTTGGGGTGTCGCTAGTGTTCTATGTGTACCGAAGTGAATGTAGCATAATAAATACGAGTGAAGTAAGCAAATAACCAATTTTATTTTATAATGATATATCGGAAAGGTATAGATAGTATACTAACCTAAAAACTAGAAGTCAATAATTATTGAAATTTGTTTTTATAGTAGTAAATAAAAACTGCCGCTATTTTTATCTCCCCTCTCTAAACGGTACATATGGGACACTAGCGCCCTCTTAATTTGGTAAAATATTTGTTTACATGGACTTCGGACTCCTTGTGTAGTCTCCATGAGTTATGGAAGAAAATGACGTCTAATTGAATTGTATAGAGATTGCCAAAATAAAACGTTATTTGAGTAGTTTTATGGCTCCCTAGTTTAATAAACCCTTCCCACATAAGTTAGTTTTTAAGTACCAATTCACCATAACCTCAGTAGTTACAAAAAATAAATATGTCGAAAACAGAATATGTCAACAGAAATTTGTTTATGATGGCATATTTTGTTATGTTTGAAACGCCGATCAATGTAAACTTCCCTAATACAAAGTGGAAGCTTCCTCATACCTTCATCAACTCACGACAAATTACCCCGCAACGAGGAAGATGTCAGTCGCAATGATCAAATAACTTCAAAGTTTAAAACAACTCCGTGTCCTGATCGTCTTCATATAATCAAACAATTTTTTACATGTTATTATAACATGTTAATAATACGTACATCAAAGACAATAAACAAACTAGATCACGTCGGCTGCTGCGAATGATCAGACTGTCTGATTTCCATCAACTTTCGTGCCATCAAAATGACGTTTTCAATCTTGATTAAACAAATTTTATGAAAATTTGGTAGTTTGATACTTGCTTTATTCATTATCTAATGGATACTACCAGCTTAAGGCGAATTTACACGATGCAATTTGGATGTACATCGAGGATGATTCATCAAAGATGAAACAATGTAAACAACGTTTCATCAACATTTCATCCAAGATAAACAGTTCTGCCTTTTCACTATCGGTTTCACCTAAGATGAATCATTCTGGATGTACATCTAAATTGCATCGTGTAAATTCGCCTTTACTTGAGAATGGTCTGTTAGTCTCGTCAGTTTGTCGCTTTTACACGTTCTGTCACATTTAATTGTTAGAGTAATTGTTACGTTATTACTTTTGTTATTTGTATATATTGACAACTTACGTAGGTAAGCCGATTAGAAAATGACTATTGTCTACTTCATACCTAGTGTCAATCTAGAGACTTTATTTATACCTGTTTTAAACTTTGATCACTAAAATGTTTATATTTGTTTTTGCTTTGTGTATTTGGTGAACAATTTTTTTATTTAAAATTTGTGGATTATTATTGTGCATAAAATAATTTTACTAATGGTTAGCGGCAACAATAAAAAGTTAGTATGTAAGTTAAAATTGTGTGTGTGTGCTAAACTAGAAACTGATTAAACAAAACCAAATATACATATTCATATATTGCTTTTGATCGACGTACCGTTTACTTCTGAACGAAAACATGATGTAATATCAAGATATATTGGTAATTCTGCAGAAAAGCTCACAAACAAGATAATTTGACTTGAAAGTTTCGAACGTAAACGAACGGACGTAAAAAAAATTGTTGACAAAGGAAAAATTGAAAAATTACTTAACAATTTATTGTGTTCAACATAAATGGATATTTTTTGTATTCAATACTTTTTTAAGAAATGTTCATGGAGAAAATTTGATATAAATGTAATAAGAAACATTTATCGATTTAACATCAACAACTCGAGTAAATTATCAGAAAGAATAGTGTTTGTCGAGATGTCGAGGTGTATGCTTATATGAAGTGGAAACTACGTTTCCTAATTTCCTATTAAATTGAAGTCAGCCAGCAATATCTAGCAAACTACATCATAACTAATTGTCAACTGAAAACACATAAGTACCTCACAAATTGAAATAATTAATGTAACAATTTAAAGAACATTGACACAATAGTCTTGTGCGACAGATCGAAGAGTAAATTTTACCGTTACGAACAAAACATGTTTTGTTAGTAAATAAACGGTGTAAAAATTGTCCCTACACTTCGGATTCAATTTTATTTGGAACGATATTCATTAATAAATAATTGGGAGAAACGATTTTTATGCAAACCATCCATTAACAAATTACCCTCGATGTAAAAATTCATCGAGTAACGTACATAAAACGTTCCATAAAACAAAACGCGGCGAGACAATGGACGGAGAAATATTTTTTCATTATCCGTAAAAATACACATTCATGAATATAAAACCGACGATCGATAATCCGATAGGTATATATCCAGTATATTTTCAAAGCAAAGAAACTGCCCATTCAAGCCTTTCCGATTTACAAACTAAAAGCTTGGCAACAGGTATGTAATGACGCAGTACGACTAGAGGATATCGAACCATTTGCTAAACTGCATTGCACACAGGCAAAGGGCGGATAACGCGCCCAGCGGGTGTCTCTGCGCTAATTTAATAATTTATTAAACAAGAAGTGCTTGGATTGCACTGTTTAC